ATTTCCCTAATGTTTTAAAGGTCGGTACACACGAGGCGACATGTCGCTGCAACACGTCGCGGCGACAGATCACTCCGTGTGTACAGGTCGGGCGACTAGTTGCAGCAACAAGGTGAGGCGACACGTCGCAGCGACAAATCGCTTCGTGTGTACTGGAGAATTTTTGTGAAAATCTTTGTCTCCGCAACAGAATTTTGTCGCTGCAACAAGTCGCAAAAAGTCAAATCAGACTGAATCTGTGCGACTTGTTGCGGCGACAAATTCTGTTGCAGCGACAAAGATTTTCACACAAATTCTCCAGTACACACGAAGCGATTTGTCGCTGCAACGTGTCGCCGCGACATGTTGCTGCAACTTGTCGCCTCGTGTGTACCGACCTTAAGTGGCAGATAATCATCATTTCCCCTGAGCATATATCACATTTATTTGAACCAAATCTTTTTTCGTCCTATTTTAAAGGACGGTTTTCCGTTTCATCTCAAAAAGGTGACCAGTTTGCTTCGGAAAATCTGCCACGTACCTGAAAAATTCAGACTCCCACGAATCTTTAGTATTCATCCCAATGAACTGAAACATTCACTCGATAAAGTTCTATTTTTCTTCATCACTTTAAGGGCTTAACGCTTGTGTTATATGGAATATTGACTGAGAAATAATTTTTCTAAAAATACCTTTGAATTATCCCTTAACGAGACGGATTAGCATACATGGATTTGACACATAATTTTGCAAAACTGGCACCTGATCCAGAAGTTATGATAAACTAAAAGTACCAAGACCAAAAAAAATTAGGGGAGTGTAGAAAATTTACCTTATCCGTTCTAACGCGGACAGCCTTTTACGTCAGTCCCCGAAATATTCGCGCATATTAGTGCCTTTTCAAGGGACCGTTTGTCTTACGTTTTAATCAAATTTAGGGGGTGTTTTGACGAATCGTTTCCATTGTGTGAACATGAGCGACAGCCGATATTGAGTATTAACGATACGTTTTGAGAAACAAGAAATTTGAGTAATTACGCCCATTTAATCAACGGTCATTTCACAGTAAATCGAAGCATAAAAAGGTTTTGATGAAAACCAAGTGAATCTTAACATAATTTATTTGTCTACAAAAAAGCAGGTAGAAGGTAGGTCGCCCAGGCTGAAATTATAACAGCGACTAACCGAGGTGTCGGATTCAATCGAAATGTGAGGATGTATGAGGGGCCGGAAGACCACTATGAAAAACACTACGGCAACACTTACTTTCGCATTGAAATTTCGGGCAGATTATTTACCAGTTAAACGAGTACTAATTGCACTTGTACGGTCGGAAAGTGGACTGTAATATTACCATGGTGAAATAAATGAAAATATAGGATGAAAAAGGTTCTAAGCTAGAAACTTAGTTTCAGTGGCGACTTCGTCGTTAATGCCAAAGATTAATTTATTGATTTTTATGGCATAAAATCAAAACGTTCTACGAACAATAACGCAATAACTTTACAGTATATCATAGACTACTATGGTTTTGAACTGCATTTTCAAACTGGCAAATTCTGAGAGTAGTGTTATAGGTTATGGATAATGCAGACATGCATGAGGTTTTATTGCCACAGTTTAAATTTACTTTCAAATGGGCTAAACTAAAATGGAAAGCGAAAGAAATTAACCGGTTTGTTATAAGAGCCAATGAAGAAGAGTGTTTTGTTGTTACAAAATACTGAGGCTGGAGCATCTGCTAATCAAACTGTAATAGAGAAAATTTACCTTTGTTTTCTTTTCCTATCTAAGTATTTATGGAACATAAAAATAAACTCAGGACAAACATTCATAGCTTCATAAAAAGCGAATACCATTTTCAAGTTTTCCTTTATTCGTTCTGTTTCGCAGTCATTTCGTATCCGAAAGTTTTCCTTGCAATCGTAATGCAAAACGTCTTTTAGTTTACTAATATTCACAGGGTCTTTCGTTTCATCCAAAAGAAATCATTATCGTAGTACACCTGCAACTTGTCTTTCTTTCTGAATTATTTTCCAAAGGACTACACTTTTTGTGCAACGGAAAAACAGGATCCTTTAATTATTTTCATTCAAATCAGCACGATTCGTTCACCGAAAGAAAAAGAACTAAAATTAAAACAACTTAGTTGCGTCAAGAGAACAAAACAGAGCTTTTCAAGTTCTCTCAATGGCTGTATGCAAATCGCTTCTATCGGATTAAAGTGCGCAACTCTACAAACGTAAATCAGTATCCTGAAACACGTTTAAAAGACTGAAAAAGTTCGCCAGTTTGTCTAAACATCTTCAGAAACGCCGATTGGTTTCTTTAAACGAACGGCCGAACGCTGCTTTAAAAAAATGACGTTACATATGCTTAAGATGATCTCCGAGGTGACAATCCTTTGCTTTATTTGCTTGGCAGCTTCTATTGGGAACGTGAGTTTATTCCTTATCGTCTACAAAAACCCGAATCTTCGCACCATCACCAACATGTTTATTCTAAACCTGGCTGCCGCCGACATCTTGGTGTCAGTGCTAAGCATGCCAGTTACCATGGTAACAGTTGTCAATGGTTGTTGGGTCTTCGGACACACAGCTTGCGTGGTGCTCGGATATTTCACAATTTTATCGTTCATAGCGTCCGTAATGTCTCTAGGCATGATCGCCATCAACCGTTATTTTTACATCGTCAAGTGGAACACATACACCATCACCTTTGCAAAGACAAAAGCGTTGCTCTACGCAGCAGGCGTCTGGTTTGTTTCAATGTTTCTGGCATCCCCTCCACTGTTCGGTTGGGCAGAATATCGCTTCATCCCGGGAAAATCCTACTGTTTCGTTTACTGGCCCTCGAACGTGTACTTCATGTATTTTATGATTACAGTTTGCTTCTTTGGTCCTCTCTCGGTTATGGCCTTTTCTTACTACAATATTTTGAATTTCACGAGAAATTTGAAAATGAAAGTTGATGTCTCGAGGGATAACCTAACCCCTCCGCCTTTACAGCAACAGCAAGAGCCAGAGAAAACAGACAAAGCACAAGAAAAAACCGCTCCGATTATCATTGAACTCGACGGAGATGAGATTCAACGAGCGCAGATTGAGATGCGAAATTGCGACAACCCACGTCTGCAAGTCTGCAGCGAAGCTGACAGAGTAAAAACTGTAGAAATCAAGTCTCAATTGAGTCCAAATGTTAAATGGAAATTATCGCCGGAAGAAGAGAAGATGACGAACACTTTCGTTCTTGTGCTTGCCTTGTTCATAATTTGCTGGGCACCTTTCGCAATGACCATGTTTTTTGATGTGTACTATCCACGGCCCTTACCTCGCTCCATAAACATTGTGTCGTTGCTACTTGGTTATCTAAACAGTATGTGTAATCCTATTTTGTACGGAATGCGTAATGCAGTTTTCAAGAAAGGGTTTGTGAATCTATACTCTTGGTTAATCCCCAAACGATTCGGCTTTAGTAACCCTGGGCAGCAAGAATGATTCCGGGTGAAAGAAACGGGCGCTTTCAGAACTTAGAAAGGCAACCAACTTCACAGATCAAAATTTAATACGTATGTATCTGTTCAATTCCCAGACTTAAATTGTAATAACTTTTTCGAAAAAAGAAAATAATAAAAATCACACTTTGCGCAGCATCACCATTTTCTGTGACTTTGTTTTTCTCTGTTTTTACTGAACACTAAGGGCAAGCTTCATGCATGCGAAGAGATTTGGTAAATGTTAGGCAACTCTTCAAGGGCAACCAACAAATTTATTTTTTAAAATAACTGATCGAAGAAGCAAATGATGCTTAGAAATTTCCACAGCTTGAGAAAAAATTCAGGATAACCATTCCATTCTTCTAATATTTTCGAAGTTTTTTTTAACAAGCTTGCCCGATTTTCGGAGGTTGTGCTTTTCACATTTTATTACCAAGTAATTGCGGTTACATTGTATTGCTAAAAAAAGGTTGAATCCACGAATGTAATAACGCCCACAAATGTAATAATACACTCAAATGTAATAAAAATTGACCACAAATGTAATAAAAAGAACGCCGCCCCAAATATAAGCACGATAAGTCGGAGAAAAATAAGCACCGCGACGCCCTTTCGAAAAACATAATATCCCGTTGTATTTTTAATCGAAAGAGCGCCACCCCGAATAACCTTGGCATCTTTTAAATCGCAAAGCAATAAGCGCCGCGGCGCTGTCTTGAAAAATACAATGTTTTACTGCATTTAATAGGAGGACGCCGACCTCAAGTAAGAGTCGCACATGAGAAGATGAAAACTAAATAAACACCTCGGCACTCTTTCGAACAAACACATTTTCCTCCTGCATTCAACCCATTCAAGCAAGAGTGCCTCATTTGCCAGCAATACAGCAGCGCTTATTAGTTTTTAATATTTTGATTATCATTGCTGAGGTAGGCTTGAAGCATATAGATGTAAGTTTAAACCTTGTTTTTTTTTTAACTTTCATTTCTTCTAAAGAGTACGGTATTTAAATAAATGATGAAAATAGGTGAGTATCTCCCAAAACAACTTCGAATTTATTTATCGTAGAGTAAGTGATACTCCCAATAAATGATCAAAGTCTATTATCTAAGTCGAATTACAAGGTCTACAAGGTTGCGTATTAATCTTCGGTCAATGAAAATTCGCACACACCAAATTGTAAAAAAATCGGAAATAGCGAAAAAAGCGAGCGCCCACTCAACGGACGACGAACATTTCAGTGAAGAACGATATTGTATTTTCCGAAGGAGCACCGCGGCATATTGATTTTCGTACTTAAAGATGACAAGGTGATTTGAAGGCGGCGCTCTTTCGATTACATGCCATAGAATATTGTGTTTTCCGTTTTCGAAAGAGCGCGACGGTGCTTATTTTTGTCCGACTTATAAAATTGAGGGCTGTGCTCTTTCGAGTATATACGGTTTGGATAATATTTGACGGTTTTATTACATTTGTGGTCAATTTGTATTACATTTGAGGGCATTAATACATTTGTGGTCAATTTTTATTACATTTGAGGGCTTTATTACATTTGTGGTCAATTATTACGGTTTGCCTTCAACAGACGTTAAAGGTCTTCCGTCTGAAAATTTCAGTATAAAGACAAAACGTCCCCTCGAGATTTCTAATGAAAAAGGTTACTTCATGTCCTCGAACTTTCGAACGGACCCATCAGGATAGCTTACAGTTTCGGATAAGATGATCAAGCCACCTAAAACTTTCGAGATGACCAAAGTTCCTCTAAAACAACCGAACAAATGAATAGCTCTTAGGACAGCTCCAAATTAACCAAACAGGTTTCTAAAGCATAGAGAAAACCATTTAAGACACTTTTGAGGTATTTGGAAACATTCGATAATTGGGTGCCCCTGACTCTTGCCAAACGGTCTTCATCATGACCAATGAACACCACCGCTAGTGTCACAAGTTAAGTTTTCTTCGATGTATTCCTTCCAGAAGGACCCAAAGTGAGAAATTTTATAAACCGCTATATCACTTATTCAACGTTAAAAAGGCTCTTGAAGTCTTTAAGTTGTCGCCATTTACAGCTCAATTCAATTCAATTCACTTCTCTCAATATGTCTCGACAAATTAATAATAAGTACTAGACAAGTTTCAGTTCTACGGGGAGCCCGCCAGAGGTCCAGTTCTGTACCCTTTAGATTAACTTTTTGACAGGAAAGTTACGCCTCTCGTATATTCTCTATTAGCAAATTTGCATCCCTTTTAACTGCTGTAAATTCACTGTCTTTTAACTACGAGTAACTCACAAAAACAACAAATTTTCTACTTTTTCACAGCCATACAATGCATCTGTTAGCAATTTTTAAAGACTGAAATGACAGATTTCGCTACTATACTTCAACTAGTGAAATCCCTATATTTTCATATACCTGAAGCCGGGAAATGGTGCCCCTTTCGAGCGAGGCCTCACCGTATAGGTAATTGTAGGGAGTCTCCCCCCGGATCTGTCAGCGTTTCCGAGCAAACGTTTCATCAGCTGTCGCGTCTTTCGGTCACCTTTCGGCAAAGAGAAGCGACCGCCGGAAATACGCCGGCGCTCGCAGAATACTTTCTGACCTGGCCGTGTTATGGTTTTTTTAGAGAAGAAATAGAAAAAGTAAAGAATACATAAAAATTAAAAAAGGATCTTTACCATGCTACAGGCTAAAACGGGTGCCATCCTAGGACCCTTTTGGACTTCTTCTGGCTTGTCAATCTTAAGTTTTGTGTTTTATCTTATTTTCTCAGTGTGGTATTTCTTGTATGGTAGCGATTTTTGAAGAATAAAGCAATGAATAAAATAGGCACTATATTTAGGAAATTAAGCAACGTCCACTGTGACACGCGCGAGCGTATGGAAATTATACATCAGTACCCACAGATGCTGATCACTTTGCTAAAAGATATAATTCCAAAAAAAAAAAACAGGAACACTGAATGATTTAATTTGTAGTTTGGTACCTCGACTTTTTTGCCACATCCAAGCTCGAGGAAAATTCAAGGGCTTTTCAAAGATTTATTGAATTAAGGGACGATGGTCATTGAATTCAGAACATTTTTGTTTTCAAAAAAATCCTTCTCTAAAGGTGGTGTTTTTTCAGTCGCTTTCGTTCGCTAGCATGTTACTGACCATTTCTGATTATATAAACACAGATACTCTTTTAAGCAGATTTGTCTTGAATGTATTTTTACCTTTAAAGCCAAAAAAATTAGTCCCCATAAAAGCTAATACAGTAGAACCCCGGTAACTCGAACTCTGAAGGGAAACAAGAAAGAGTTCGAGTTAGCGGGGGTTCGAGTTTTCGGGAACGACTGAACATTCAGTTTGCCATGTTAATTAATTGATAGTTACTGATTTTTCTGTACTGCAGTGTATAGTCCAGTGCACATTTAACTTATTTCATCAGAAACGGTAACATGGTTATGCATTTTATCGATAAAACGTCCGTTGCGCCAATTAAAATTCAAACTGCCTGTTTTGGTTCAGTCGCCCACCTCTAAAGTTCTGTCATCAAACTTTCATTGGTTATCTTGTACTTGACATAATAAACCAAGTAGGTTTGTTCCGGGGGGGGCTACTACCTATAATTGCCTTTCCGGGGAGGCTTTACCCAAAAGGGGTAACTTTTTCTGGCTTCAGGTATATGTATATGCAGTTGAAGTATATGCAAGGGTAGAGAAATCTGTCATTTCGGTCTGTAAAGTGGGCCTAAAGGGCTACAAAATGATTTTATGGCTGTACAAAAATGGAGAAAATTTTCTGGTTTCGTGATATATTCATATTCAAAAGACGTTACCTGTAGAGCAACTATTAAGAAAACGTCCACTTTAAATAAAACATTTGGTAATAACAGTATAAATTTTCCGTCAATACTGAGCGTGAAATGAATTTCCTCAGCACAAAACAACCAAATTATTTGTACTTACTTGTAGAGTGAAGCCACATCCCCGAGGTACCAGGCCCGTTCCAAAGCCAGCGTAATTGCTGTTAATGAAAGAACATGCGTTGCCCTGCTCATCAACTACGCTGAAATAAACAGTGTCACTTCCACTGAAAGGAAATCCACGCTGACAACTCTCTAGTGCTCTGAAGAGAGAAAATCACGCGCGATTTAATTCATTGTTCAAAGACTGAGGTTCAATTCTTTACTGACGAAAAACGACAAGCAAGTGACATAAACAGCGTGCATTATCTCGATAAAGCACGTGCATAATTAAGAGTCTATCTTTTTGTCGAGGGTCGAGGGTCGAGGGTTCCATGTCGAGGGCGAGGGTACCAAGTCGAGGGTCGAGGGTAACATTTTTTTTTCCAATTTTTTTTTTTTGGACAAGGTAATAATCGATGCAATAATCAATGTCATTAAAACAAATAAGAAGAATTTAAAAAACAAATGGCGCGTGAACATCTTCTAGTTGTTCGGTGGAGGTGGGGGGTGTGGGGGGGGAATAGAGAAAAGCTGCGGGACATCCCAATTTGTTTTCGAACAGAACAGAACAGAACACGTTACTTGAAAACACTGATTTTAAAAAAAATGTTGTAAACAAAATTTAAAATGTCGTAAAACAAGAATGAGTGCGTTGAATATAGAATTTCTGGTCCAACCAACAAGAATGGAAGAAAAAAACTCTTATTGCGTTGTAAAATGTGTCATAATATGTGTCATAAACGAACAATGCAATCGTTGGAGTCTATCTTTTTGCAGCTCGCATGGAAATCTCCACCCACTAACGCAGAGGTTTAAAATAGAATAATGCCTGGTAGCGACTTTCGGTGAGGTGAACATCGGCATTTGCCGACGCTTTCCTATTAAAATACAATATATCTTTCTAAGCCACAATCGGTCATATCAGGAGCCCATCAAATGATGGGCTCCTGGTCATATATATACACTCTTTTTTTTTTATAAGAATATATTTTATAAGAATATCGAGGCTGAAATTTGCGAAATATTAAGAATATTTTAAGAATAAAGCCAAGGCTGAGATTTTGAAAAGGATAGATATAATTTTGTGTGTTGAAACATCTGTAAATACAATACAATTTTATGTTTTTAACTTAACCGTATAAAATTATTCCTTTCTCTGAACGGCGAAACTAGCCAACAAAACGAAAAAACCTGCACTAGCTATAGCAAAATGTTCAACGCTAATGTCAGTTCGATGAACGGTACATGTAATATATATACATATACCCCAATAAATTCTAAAACGGAAATGTCATAAGCTTTAATTTAAGAATAATACAAGAATATTTTCAGCCTAAAATCGGCAGAAAAATAAGAATATTCAGCCTGGGCCGGAAAAACAATATTCTTATAAAAAAAAAAGAGTGTATGTGAACATGGACGTGGTGGACGTGAATAGGAAAAAAAAAAACAGACGTACGGTCCATGTCTCCCATTGATCCAATTAATTGTTTTACATTTGACCCATTTCTACTAAAGATCTGTTGTTTTGCCAAGTTGGACACAAGTTTTTTATTCCCGAAAAAAAAATCGACTGTGTTGCAAATTCTGTTTAACTGTTTGAAATGTTACAATGTCTCACAAGGAGGGGGGCGTAAGGGTTTGCGGTATTGCGGTATTGGGTCATTTTTGGTGCGGTGTTGCGGTAGTTTTTATTTCAAAGTACGGTATTGCGGTTTTCAGAGTCGAAGCGGTTTGCGGTAAGTTTAAATTTTACGCCGCGGTAGTCGGTGAAAAAATCTTTGTGTCGCGGTGATCTGCTTCTTTTTCATGACAAGAGGATACAAATCCTAAAAGGTCTCCCTGGCTAGCCTGCGTGACCTGTGTGCACAGTCGGGGATTGTATTGCGCAAACAGTGCAGACAAATCGTATGGCTTCTAACTTCAGTTAATACTTGATATGATTAACGACATTAACTTTTTCATCCAATAATACGTAAACATGTCGCATTATTTATGACTTCATGGACCTTGTAGGAATAGTTAACCTCCTTTAAACCAATCTTACCACCACTTTTGTGCCAGTCGCCAAACAATAGAGAGCCATCCAGCGGGGTCAACGAAGTGATCAGTCAGATATTCCAGGAAATAGTGAGGTCAGTGAGATCGTTATAAATTGCGTAGTGTAGAAAGATAATCTATAAAGATGGCGTGGTCTAAAAATTACTACTTGTCCTTCTCGTTGTGCATGCAGGAATTACCCTACCCTGCTTACCCTACGTAGCATAGCATCTTGGGGGTGGTGGTGGTGGTGGTGGGGGGGTACTTCCTGATAAGAGGCTAATGAGGATGTGCCGCTGGATGGGGTCGCATTTTCACGACTGGATTGACTATAATGGGGTCGCATTTTCAGAGAGTTTTTTTAGAATGGGGTCGCACATTTTCTGCTTTTTTGGGGTTAGACAGTTCCTCATATTTACGGTTAGCAAAGGTACCAGAATGTTTGTATTGTAGATGAAAAGTAAAGTGTTCTTCATTCAATCTAAAACAAGGTCAATTTGTAAAAATAGAAAGTGACGAAGTTGGGATCGCGAAAATTAAATATTTGTTCAAATGACTAAGATGGGGTCTATAATTGGCCACAGAATAGCCTGTTTCAAGCGTTCAGATAGTGGAGAGCGGTGCAGAGTAAAGAAAGCGATGAAAAGTAGAGGGGGACTGGGGAGAGAGGTGCGGGAACGCTTGTAAGAATTTTTAACAAAAGTGCGTTCCGGTATACCAGATCCTGGTATACCCTCTGATTGGTTGATTTTGACAGTTTTTGTCAACAGTGGAGCGTCTTCGATCACAGCGAGAAATGCGATATGGCCGTTATGACAGACTCTACGTGCCGTCACGCAGAATTCAAACTCGCAACAAACACAGTGCTGAGTGACTTTCCAAACGTGGAGGCTAAAAGCGAAGAGCAAAGAAACTGTTTAAAACACGTAGTCGGTAGGATAGATGTCTTAGCAATTTCTCACCGACTGGCTTTGGAAAAATTCTTATTTTCCAGCTTTTTCCTCGAATAAAGCGTGCGTTGGAATGAAAGCAGAATAGAATGCCATTTACGATTGTTGTGGTAACTCCGTTGATTACCATCATGGAAGACCAAGTGGAATATTTGAACAAAATCGGAGTAGCGGCGGCAATGATGGGAGAAGATGTGGATGAAGCCGTTAAAAGTGGAAGCTGTGAAATTGTTTACTGAAGTGCCAAATCGTGGTTTGTTAATGAATGAACAAAAGGACTTCAAAACGGAAATCTTGGAAAGCAAGTTGCAGCTATCGCTATTGACGAGGTCCACTCAATCACCGAATAGTAAATTTTCCCTTCAATTGTTGTGCATTTTCATTGCTTGAGTTAACGATCTGTATTGAAACGGCTTTCTATCGAAATGAGCGATATTTGTTTGTCACTTGATTCTTAATTTTTTGTCACGTACACGCTGAAATCATGTTTTAAAGCCGTAAATAAATTCATTATACATGAATACTTCTCCCGCCTTCTATTGTCTGAAAGTCTTACATTGGGTTTCTAGTAAGATTATGTATACATAATATTAATTTTTGATCTGACAAACTTTGATTCATTCGCAAGAAAAATAATAAATGCATCGGGCTGTAACACCAGTCTTGATTGACAAGTGAAGACCACCTACCGCTGATGCGGTCTGACTGGGCGGAAGAGTCTATTTAAAACAAATCTAACAGGCGTTCCCTCTCTCACCTCTCCTCCTTCCTCGCTTTTATTTTTTCGCGCTCCTTTTTACTTCGCACCGCTCCCCACCATCTGAACGCCTGGAACAGGCTAGCCACAGAATAGACTGTAATGGGGTAGGGGCTCTGAGAGGCCAGCGGCACATACCAACCAAATATGATCCCAACTTTTTCCCATTTGTAACTGCGGTTTCGGTATTTGGCTAAAATTTTGATGCGGTATTGCGGTATTCTCGCGCTACCACGTGCGGTATTGCGGTATTCGTATCCCCCTTACGCCCCCCTCCACAAGGCCATTCCTGTACAATTTTTCGGTCGGTCGGGCAAGAAAAAATGGCATTGGGTTTGTGGAGTGATATTTGGTTCTGTTTCGAGGATATTTTCCCTGGTATTTCAATTCAAGCTTTCTCTGTGATCTATTTTTCCGTGGTTTCTGATGTTAATTTACTACTTTTAACATCATGCAAGAAACTGGACAGTGTATTCCAAGTCTGTCTTTTACGGAATTTTTTTTCTATAAATATTCATATAGTGTACACTCTTTTTTTCTTTTTTTGAAAGTTCGCATAATCGGTCTACTTCGATCTGATCACTGTTCGTGAATAAAAGCTCCCCTTTTCGTGCAAAATAGGAAATAATCGCTGAAGCCGTTGTGGAGAAAGTCTTTGCGCAGACACCTCTGATTTCTGTTTGAAATGCACACTAGGGATAAAGATGTGCACAAAATTAGTTTCGCCACATGACTTCCTATTGTCCCACTGCCGCCATCAACTGCGCCGATAAGTGTTGGTTTTACGTTCCTTTTGAGTTTCAGGGTGTTTCAAATTTCTGCAGTGATACACTTTTTAAGCTGCAGAACATAACGTTGGTAAATTTATTATTGCGCGCGACTCGGGCGATAGCATCAACCATCCAAATTATCACTCTAGCTACGCACTTACTAGCCTGCGAACCGCAGACGCATTTCCGGTCGTCGCTTCTCTCCCTCCGAAAAATAGCTATTTTTCGGAGGGAGAGAAGCGACGACCGGAAATGCGTCTGCGGTTCGCAGGCTACGCACTTACGTACCTAGGTCACGATTTCCGGTGTCGGTGATTATCGATGACTTGTATTTTAAAATTTCATGTAGCCTGAGTATCAGGCGTTTTTCCCCTTCCCTATCCCCTTAGGAAGGCCTGATACTCAGGCTAAATTTCAGGGCGAGTTTCTACTTCATTGAAAGCACGACAATTCGGTCGCATACAGTGGGATGGCTTAAAAAACAAGAATTGGTGAAATATCCATATTCAAACCCCGGGGGGGGGGGGCACTTTCGGAATTTCTGGGTGGGGATGTACCGCTGGGACCCTGGAACCCTTGACCTATACCAGAGCTAGTTCAGCTGAATTTTGCTACCCTATACTAGAGTAAACTCCCAAAATCCCCCTATCCTAGAGTAGCTGTTTCCCCAGTCTAGATAAAATCTTCAACCAACTGATCAGTTTCATAAAAAATGATACCCTATTCTAGACCCAAACGCTCTGATTTATATACCCTACCCTAGAGTAAACTGCTTGAAAGCCATACCCTTCACAGCGGCACATACCCATATCGCCCATATATGGCAGTACCCCCCCGGGATTCAAACTACCCCCCAGTGAACAGCCAAGCAAGGCAGAGAAGAGGCAGACGTGACTGAAATATAAGCCGCGAAGCAGGGGTACCCAACTGACGGACTAAAGAAAATCGCTTAGTTATTCAGATCCAGAAGGCACTTTGGAGAAAATTGGAACCCTTATTCAGCCGTAATAAAAAAGCTTTACGCTTCAAAAGAGGTCAAAGAAATTGCGCTTGCATCAGAGGGCAAATCCTGCCGACCAGAAAACAATAACTACAGTCAATCGATATACATGTCATGACCTCTCAATGTGAAACATGCGGCTGAAATCACATTTGCTCAGTATAATTAGAACCTTCCAGAGCATAATCTACCCAGCAGATAAAAACAACTCTATTGGAATAAGCAGCATTTTGGCATGAGGAAAAAGTCGTGTAGGCCTACCACCCCCTTTTATTGTTATAAATGTAATTCTTCGAAAACAAACCAGGATGTCCCGGAGCTTTTCTCTATTCCACCCCCTCCCCCCTCCACCCAACAACTAGAAGATGTTCACGCGCCATTTGTTTTTTAAATTCTTCTTATTTGTTTTAATGACATTGATTGCATCGATTATTACCTTGTCCAAAAAAAAAATTTGGAAAAAAAAATGTTACCCTCGACCCTCGACTTGGTACCCTCGCCCTCGACATGGAACCCTCGACCCTCGACCCTCGACAAAAAGATAGACTCCATAATTAACCTGCTCTGACCAATAATAGCGTACTCCTCTTTTTTTACAATAAGTGGTTTTCCGCGCGCTGATAGATCGAGAACTGTTGTCTGAGGGATATTAACTCAGGGAGCGATGTAACGATAGCGCATTTTGTTTTTCTCTGTGTTACTGTTTACTTACCAATTTACACAAACCATCCGCTTAGCGATCTAATGGAAAAAACACTTAATAATGTAATTTGACCTTGTGAAGACTGCGAGCAGTTTCTCTTTTTTCTCGAATATCTGAACGAACGCGCGATATGCGTGTGCGAGAAGCGAAGCCGCGAGCAGCGAGTTGGCACAGCACCAATACCAGCGAAAACTCGCTTGTCGCTCGCACTTGCGCGTGCCAAACTCGCTGCTCGAGGCTTCGGCTTCCCCACGATCGAACATCGCGCGCTTTCACAGATTTCGAGAAGGACAGACTGCGCCGGCGCAGCCCAACCTTGTGAGAGAAGGACCCACTACAAAGAATATCCAAATCAGTTAAAGAGACAGATAGGAGTGGGGAACAAGGCGCCTCAAATCACGGTCCATAATTTTTGAAGCCTTCCTAACGGAATGGCGTGTACCTTTTATTTTTTCCAACCAGAATTTCCGGGTTTCCCAAATAAATGGTAAGTAGACTCTGTCTTAAAACTTCGCAGGAAATGCACGTTTGTGTTCGCTATTGCGGTTAACAAATAGACAACAACTTTTACTTGTCCATACTTTTATAGATCTTAGAAATGACACCAAAGTGTTCAAAACTATGCCATAAAACCACTCGCCGTTACACTTGGGTTTTGGACACTTAGAAGGTCCGATTTTTATGTTTTATAAGAGTACAGACAAACACTATTGTTTATTTGATGAGTAGAACTTTTTAAAATCAAAATTCAGGGGGAGTCACAAGCCTATTTCACTACAAAGTTTTGAAAATGTCGTCATTGTAAAGGACTACCTAAAAAGTTTACTAATGAACAAAATGGTTTGAAACGTTACAGAAATTAATTATCTGCCTCAATCAGTCAAACCAGTAAACTGACTAGAAATCGACACAGCCGGTAAGCACTAGTAGTGATCGAGGTGACATACAAATATAATGTAAGTATAAATTTCACAGCGCTTTCGATTCCTTTTGAATCGTTTCATGGCGTGTTTATGGACTATCGTTGCTCCCTCGGCCGCTTTGCGGCCTAGAGACATGTAGAGATCTCGCTCCGATCGCTTTACGCTTTATCGCTTTTTCTGCGGTGAAACCTCGCGAGGATGAATTCCATTCAGCAAGTCTGCAGTATTTAGTTTGCCTTTGATTTTAGGGGTTAGAGAGTTGTTACAGGACTCTTGTGAACATCAGCGTTCTTCATAATTACAGTCGAACTTCCATGTGCAATCGCCTCTCGTAAGTCATCAACCAACCCAACCCAACCCTAAACACCGAATTTTTACCAAGCAAAGGTCCTATAATTAGAATCTATCGTAAACGAACACCTTTCGTAAGCGACCGCGATCACTTTTTTGTGCTGACCGTTTTACAATTTTCCATTTTCTTTACCTCTTGTCAGCGACCACTTGACGCACGGTCCGATCTCTTCGTTCGCTGTACGACTACGTACTATGCCACTCACAGTATACGAAGAACTTTCAGTGACACGTGAAACTACACATATCTTAACCGCGTGCGTTCGAGGAGGTCGGACGCGCGTAAGTTGGCTCGTAATAGGCGATTTCTGTATCATTTCTGTATCAGAACGAGGTTAAGTGCTCAGCCTTTGACATGGAAATGATTTTTCATGCTCATGCAAATAAAACTCATTTTCACAAGAAAGATTTTGCACTTGGTCTCAATTTGAAAGCGAGGGTTTTTGGAACTCGGAAGTGGCCTATTGGTACTTTTTGGGTTCTAACTACCCGCCTCGATTAGCTATTGCTATTTGCGGGTAGATACTTCCCCTCTTCCAATAAATAAATAAATAAATAAAGTTGCCGTTGTTGTTGTGGTTAACTTGAAAATTGCACGCAATAAAAACTCTTCCAAAAAGTGGATTGGTCAGAACCTCTTCTTGGAAAAGACCCCCCGTGGGTCGACTCTCGTAAGCGACCAGCTCCCGTATGCAACCTCTAAATCTTCGTATTTTGGTTGGTCGCTTACAGGACGTTCTACTGCATAGTATATTTACTAACCTGTCTTGTCTGATTAGGCTCCGTCGTTTTGCAGCATAGTCCTTTGATAGCAAACCGCTAACAGGCACTTGAATTTTGCTTGGATCAGCATTATACCATAGAGTGTCTGCAAAGCTTAGTGATAGCGCCTCGATGACAGTATGAAGATATTCAGCAGAGTTATGCTCCATTCCTGGCAAAGAGAATAAAATAATAATGATCAAAACACAAATGATTATTATAAGCCCTGTACACAACTGAAATAATGCTTTTAAAGAAGCCTTTGGGATCCGTTGCATTGCATTATTGATTCTAGACATTATCGACCTAAACCAATCAGAAGGTCAAGCTTCAAACGAATGATCAATCCCGTATACGTATTTTCCCGCGAATTCACGTGACATAATAAACCAATCAAAAGGCAAGCGTCAAACGAAAGACCAATCCCTTGCACACACTTTCCCGCAAATACATGCGACTTGAAGGCAAGGATCAAACGAAAGACTAATCCTATGCACGCACTTTCACGGGCGACCTTATGAACTAATATGAAGGCAAGTGCTAAACATGCACGCACCTTCCCACGAATTCACGCACACAGTGGTAATAAAGGGCCTAATGAATTTGGATTCACATTGCTATTCCTATTTACACAAACTGGGCTAACTCACGGAAGAATTCTCACCTTTGATGTCGAATCCCTCCAGGATATTTAAAGCTAGAAGTGCTGTGATTCCTTGACCATTGGGTGGCATTTCCCAAACATTGATCCCACGATAGCAAGTACAGATAGGATCATCAAACGTACTGTAATGCTTCTCCAGGTCTTCAACTGATAACATTCCACCATGTTCTTGCACCACTTCGACAATGGCCTCGGCTACTCGTCCTTTGTAGAAACCATCTTTGCCCTTCGTACACAACTCCTACAAGAAGTTAAGTCGTCATGTACTGAAAGTTAGTTTAAGTGGCAGGTTCGTAAACCATAAGAAATATTTATGCTTTTCCCTTCCGACCTCTGATAAATTAGATAGGTGCTGAATTCCTGAAGATGGTTTACTGGGCCCAAATGAAGCACTCAAAAAAACAACTTGGGGTTAAATGGCTATGGACTTCGTCTAATAGCCGCTTTTATTAAAGTAACAATAACATTCTTTTCTATTTGTCTTATCTGATATTTACAAGGAAAGTTCTCTTGGCCCAGTAAAGGTGAGGGCAACCCAAAACTCCACCCCTAAAAATTCAGACCTTTCCGCAGGGAGTAACACAAGCGAATGATAATAAACAATTGATGCTTCGGTTCCTCGTGCGCCTCAACTCTAGAAGGGGGGGGGAAGCAATTGGTCAAGTCGCACAATACCCCCATCAGTTACCCGGATGATGTCACGCTACAACAATCATGTTGTTATAAGCGAAAGGGGAAAGGATAGAAATCCTATTCGCAAGCGAATATTTCATACACGGCGCAGTATAAAAGATGCGCGTGAGCCGGGCGAATAGGTGTAAAGGGAGAGAAAGCCTCCCATCTCCTCGCATATGTCTTCCTCTTTCGCGTCACCACACTAGCGGTTCTGTAAATAGAGAGTTCAAGATACCATACGTCGGCGACGCCGTTAAAAACGTCACTTAAAAAGTCGCTTTGCGTTCTTTGAAACTTCAGCGCGATTACCTCAACTTACTCACTTTGCCAAGTGTTGGCGAATTCTCCTAAAGCTGATTTTTTGAGAGAAATGTTCAAGTTCTTCGTTGTTTGTTTACGTTCTCGGTAACACGTGAAGTTAGGTAATTTCACGTCGTAATTACATAACATAACATAAAACTTTATTTATACTCGAATTTTAGAGTAGCTAACAAGCTAATATCTTCGAGCTGACACTACATAAAAACTATATAGAAAATATATATATACATTAAATGCAAGGAAAGAAAATATCATTTACAATTCACAATTTTAAGTTTAAGTATGTCAGGCAAAAAGAATCTACATGAAGGTAACATCCTGTATTTTAGTCTTAAAGTCTGCAAAAAAACTGGTACGAAAAAAGTCCGGCAGTGCATTCCACTGCTTAGCTGAATAGTAAGAAAAGGAGTTAAGACGATAGGTAGTTGTTTTAGGTTTACTTAGTGAAAGAATGTAGTTGCCACGAAGATCATAGGAAGAGGACCGGAGTGAAAACATATTCTTCATATAAGTAGGAAAATGAGTAAAAAACAAACTCTTATATAACAGAATGAGGAAATTTTGAATGCGTTTGTTAAACAAAGAAGTAGAGCTGACTTTTGAGAGAAGAGTGTTGTATGGAGACGAGTAATCTCCAAGTATAAATCTAAGTATTCTTTTATTTAAAGCTTCGAGCTTATCCGCATCGCGCGCTCCACAAAAGTGCCAGACAGAGGAGCAATAATAAAAGTGAGGTAAAATATACGCTTTGTAAAGTTTGAATAAGATTTCCTTGCGTATGAGTTTTCTAAAGCGCAACATAACATTAAATTGATTATTAATCTTTTTGCATACATTTGATATATGTTTAGAAAAATTCAGGTTATTATCTATTTCCATTCCAAAAATCTCTAACGTGTCCTTTACTGGGAAGGAAAAACCATACTCCGTATCACCGAGGATTAGACACTGGTGCTTGCTATCATTAACTAACATCCCATTTTCATGGTACCACTGACTGGCCACGCCAACATCATGAGATACGCATGCATCCATTGTGCATTGACGGCAAAGAATTGTGCAAACAAAGGGTGCTGCACGTTTGCTTATCTTTCTGACGTTCTCATTGCTGTCGCCGTGGCGACATCTTAAACTCCCTGATAGAGCCTTTTTACCCACGTGGCCAGGAACCATGTAAATTTATTGGAACAAAACAAAGTCTTTGAACAGGAAAAGGTTCAGATCCTAAACAATTAGTTTGCGACACCAACATGGCCGCCGTTGGGACATCTTTATGTTAGTAAAACAACAACTTTGCACGTGCATCACGCTTTCTTGTACATTTCTTTGCCGTCACTGCACGAATACGACGTCAATTGCCTAATTTCACGTATCATCGACAACGTGAACATACGACGACGAATTTCTCTTTCTCTCCGGCTTTAAACTTGAATATTTTTCTTAAGAACTCAACTCCAGGACAAAGGACAAAGTGGGCATGTTGGAATAATCGCACTGAAGTTTCAAAGAACGCGAAGTCACTTTTTAAGTGACGTTTTCGCCCCCGTCGTCGTTGTGGTATCTTAAACTCCCTGTTATCAAAGATGGTAGCCACGGCATTACAAACATAAACAAGGAGCTTTCGTCCACCCATAAAATACTGTATTGCACGCGAATCCCTTCTTGGGTTCGTGCAGATTTTCCAATACAAAAGCTCTTCTTATGATACCCTAAACACAGTAACCACTGGCAGCTTAACAACACACAACCAGAAACGTATGACATTTTAAATTCTCACCTCAAATGTCGCAGCTAGATGTGGCATTTTCATTACATCTCCTGCTTTCGGCGCTTTTCCATCAAGCAGCATATCTGAGCCATGTTTATTGGCAGGATTTATCAGAGAAGCGATTCCTTCTTTCCAGTGATGTGCCGCCACTGGGTGCACAGGGAACCCATCTCGGGCTAGATCAATCGCTGGCTGCAGTATATCCCTCAGTGATAGCTACAGAAAATTAACGTCAAAAACAGTTCACAAGAAAACCACATATTTTCAGTAAAGAAAAGGACCGGTAAAAAATGCATCAGAGAGTCTCAGAGAAAGCGTGTGACTACAACTGACATTAAAGCAAAAGACACACTAAATTATATTTTTTCACCTGCAAAAACTGAAATGCAGTGGAGCTCACTCCTGTGGCGTTTTTTACTGCAACTGTAACCTTAATTTAGTTAATGTTATGCCTATCGTTTGTTATGTTTGTCATAGCAATGTCAGTTTCCATATACAGGTGTGGCCGGGCTTGAATGTATTAATTAGGGTTAATTGAAACCAGGATGAAATCATTTTAACCTGAATTTCATTTTGACTAACAAGAGAAATGTTTACATACATGTAGGGCAGGGTAATGGCCTTCATTGACAAAAAGACATAATTTTGACTGTTAAATCCTTCTATATCAGGGACACAGCATGGAGGGGGGGGGGGAACTCCTGGGAATTCTTGGTGTGGGTTTGCTGCCTGGTTCTCCAAATCCTGGCCCTATTTCAGACCAAAAAATGTCATTTTCCACACCCATTTTCAGACCCGACCTCTCAAATCCATACCCGTTTTAAGACCTGGCCTTTACTAGGCAGAAATTATGTCATTATTACTTACATTAGAGTGCAAACAGAAAATCATATTCTTCAAATGCATTTCCAATTCCCATTGTTTTATTTCGTCATTATTGATTTGGAATTGAACTGATAAATACAAGTACGTTCATACACACCCATGGTTCCCTTGAAAACCATACCCAGTTCCAGACCAAAATGGGCAAAGTTTATACCCGCTTTCAGACCAACAAGGCCCAAAAACCATACCCTTTGGGTCAGCACATACCTATATGGCTTATATAAGGGAGTCCGCCCCCCCTCCCTGGGACAGTACAAAGTTGGAGTCATGGGCAGTGCATACCTTCCTAAAAAACCTAACCAAGTACTACATGCTTTCTAACTCTTTACACAATACATGTTGTACCTTCCCACTTCCAAATTTCTCCACAGCATCACACCAGGCTGAAGCAGCTCCAGGTACAGTGACTGTGTGTGCAGAATTGTATGGCAGGTGAACATCTCCATCTTTCACAATGCCTGTAGTCTTTAATAGATCCAGCGACAGTCTAGATGCAGCTCTCCCACTGAATTAAAAAACAACAAATATGATCAAAATCCTTATACTGGTCATCCCACTAATTAAACTGCTGATTGCTGCATACAAGAAAATTCACAAGGGGTTAAATTATACAAGCGAGTAATTAACATGGGGTTGAAAAAAAAACATAGGGCACTCCTCTAGGATTATCAGATTGGGAATGTGCCAGACAACAGGGTTAGGCATTCAGAGCTAAGAGGAGGTATCATCATTCATAAAACTCATCAATAATAGATGAGGTTCAGTGATGGTAGAGCCAAGTGAATAGGAAACCAACACAGCATATCCATGGCAACCAGTGAGCAAAAACCACCACAGACACTGTCATTCTAACCGCAAGGTCAGTGGACATTAATACAGGATAAACTTACCTGAAAGGAAGGGACGGAGGGATGGAGTGACGGAGGGACAGGAAAGAAATCAGTAAAAGGCTGCTTAATTAGACGTAAGACTTGGCTAATTGTGCAAAGAATCTTAGTGACTTGATCCCTGTAAAGTCTTCAAGTCCTTGCCACACAGAATGTAAGGTGCTACAATTACTCAAAGACACTGGCCAGCATTGTGTCGAGTTTAAGTCTGTCTAAATTACATTTTAAGCCACACCAAAAATAAGAGAGCAGTACTGGCTGTATTTTTTGTTCAGTTAGGCCATCCCCATAAAATGTTTCGTTTCCCATTACCCTCCCTCTCGTGAAGGTGGATCGGTCGGTCGGGCGGGCAAAAAAAAAAAATGAACACATGATTGCATATTACATCTCACGTTTAGTCTGCAAGATATAATCAGATGCTAAAAGATGTATATTAACAGGACTATCAATTGTCTAAAAAGGCTACAAAAATGAAGTATCGATGATAATTTAAGAAAATTGGTGTTAATAAGACAAGATCGCATGCTTGTAAATTAAAGTACTTGATTCTTTACAAGTGATTCTGGAATTTTTTTTTTTTACTTTTCCAAAAAAATGGGTCGGCCGGGCAATGGGAAAGGAAACATTTTATGGGAATGGCCTTAGTCTTACTTCTTATGGAAAACATTATTGAATAACCTTTTACATTTAGAGGGGATACATTTTTGGCTTTACTTATTTGAACCTACAGCACTAGCTCCAATCCCACTCCTGTGTGCTGTAGCTATGGTGATACTCACCCTATAGTCACCTATTGATAATTATTAATGTGCCAAGCAGAAACGCATTCAAATGGACGTATACAAAACATGGACCCCGGGTCCACAGACCACACCTGTGGACCTAGTCCATGGACCCCTTCGTAGGCCCAGTCCATGGACTATCCCTTTGGACCACCCCTGATTTTGAAGATGAATTTAACTAGGCTCCAGTTGTTCAAACATTGGATAGCGCTGTCCACTAGATAAAATCCAGCTGATAAGTATTAGGGAAAATAATGGCTTTATGCGCTGGGTAGAGATCTATCCGATGGATCTGGGGCCACATTACGTCCTGAAATTTCGAGGCTTTCTTTTCATAACTGCTTATTGAAGTTGCAAACATAAGTCTGTTTCACCACAGGTAAACCAGGCTCTGTGATAGTACCACAGTACGGTTCCAGTAAAATTACAGTGTTTGTATGGGGTAAAAATATCATCCTAAAATTTCTAGGAAATACTAAATAAAGATCAATAAAACTTACTCTGCAGTTAATTGTTGTTGTCCTTATTGCTCCAACGAAGTTTCGTGATAATTTGCAGTAATTTGTTTAAATTCACTCTATCTACAATAATAATATACAAGGTAAGAAACACCAGGTGCCATTTTCACCGACATGCTCTCATTCAACACAACTTTTTCCACGAAATTCGAACTCCAACGGAAAATAAACATGCCAGGATCGTAGAAATAGGATAGCAGGAGATATAGAGACCAATGAAGCTTTCCCAGATAGAGAAAGGAATCCCACAGACTTTGACAAACTCGAAGAATATAATCCAAATCAGACCGAGAAATATGCTTGCCGAAGCAGCCGGGCCAGATCAACGCGTGGCCAAGAAAATGAGGCCTGGGCTCTGTACAAAAAAAAATCATCCCGGGAGTCCTGAGGTGACCTTTCTGGGCACTGATACATCATGCTCTGGCAAATAGGAAGAACAATTGCCTTCTATCAAGTATTTTTCCAGCACGGGAGGGTGGCTTTGGGCAAATGATGTATCGGTCCCTAGAAAGGTCACCCCAGGACCCCCAGGATAGAATTTTTTTGTACAATGCCCAGGCCTCATTTTCTTGGCCGCGTGTTGATCTGGCCCGGCTGCTTCGGCAAGCATATTCTCGGTCTGTTTGGATTATATTCTTCCAGTTTGTCAAAGTCTGTGGGATTCCTTTTTCTATCTGCGTTAGCTTCATTAGTTTCTATATCTACTGCTATCCTATTTCTATGATCCTGGCATGTTTATTTCCCGTTGGAGTTCGAATTTCGTGGAAAAAGTTGTGTTGAATGAGAGCATGTCGGCGAAAATGGCACCTCGTGTTTCCTACCTTGTATATTATTATTGTAGATAGAGTGAATTTAAACAAATTACTGCAAATTATCATGAAACTTCGTTGGAGCAATAGGGGCAACAACAATTAACTGCAGAGTAAGTTTTATTGATCGTTATTTAGTATTTCCTAGAAATTTTAGGATGATATTTTTACCCCATACAAACACTGTAATTTTACTGGAACCGTACTGTGGTACTATCACAGAGCCTGCGTTACCTGTGGTTTCACGTGTTTTGAATTAAATCGCGCAGTACAAACTCCATATTCGCTTTCTTGTTTCAGATCAAATTTGACAATGAAGTTACATTTCAGTGCACTAAAAAGTGCTGACTCAGAGCTTTAGGGAAAGCTTACCTTCCATTTATTCCTTTCACAGTCTTCTTATCAGCGTCATAAAACAAACAGAACGCGTCCCCTCCTATCCCAGTGCTACATGGCTCGGTAACGTTAAGAGCGGCCGCGACGGCTACCGCGGCATCGGCCGCATTTCCACCAGCTTTCAGAACCCGTACTCCTATTTCAGTAGCTAGAGGTTGACTTGAAGCGACTGCTCCGTGTAGCGAAACAACGGGAGAACGACGAGAAGTGAAGGATAGATGGTGAACGTACGATTCCCCCGCCATTTTGTTTCGTTGTTCACCCAGTCTCTCTCGGATGAAAAATTGTCGTACCTATGGATGAATCTTCACTTCCGATCCGGCAAAGCGTTTCAATCATGTCACATGAAATTCTTACACTTCTCGAGGAACTAGTGTGACTTGAGAACGAGGTATTTAGGTAAAATAGTTAATAATCCGATCAGAAGATTACATATGGACGTTATGACATGTTCCTTTTACTCCGCGCGTATACGTAGAAATATTGGCGGCTCGTTTTGAGAATCAAGACTAAAGAGAGGATATGATCAGGAGCCCATCACAATTACTTTTACAGTTCATTCAGTCATGTAGCGTTGTTTAGCTTTGTTTTTCCTCTATTTGCAAATAAAATAAATTTCTATCACACAAATATCAACTCAGATTATAAAAATGAGGTTTTGTGATATCCAGAATAATCATAATTCAAAATTGACCTCGGCTGACAAGACAAGACAAGACTTTTCGGATATCACTAACCATGACTAACGTCGAAACTGTAGTTTCATTATACATTTTCAAAAAGAAAATAACGGCAAACACACTGTCGGAAGATGACCGTTGACATAGGTCATTACTTTCGACTGCATTTGGCTCCCGGACGGGGCGGGGGGGGGTGTACTGCCTTATATGGCCTATACGGGTATGTGCCGCTGGAAGGGTATGGTTTTTGACCTCTCTGTCCTAAAAAGGGCATATAATTTCTTGCGAGTCTGTCCTGCAGTGATTAAATTGAATTCTTAGATGGAATGTTGTATACAAAAGCCCGCCCTGTACAAACACAATCACGATAACGTGAATTTTCTTTGTTGCAATCACCAATAAATTGCTTTAAAACAAGGCGGCGTTCAATTTGTCCTTTGCCTAAACAGGGTAATAACATTGAGGTTGTTGTCCTAAACAATGTAGCAGTATGTATTACGTGTTTCGGATTTTTTTGCCCTAAACGGGGTCAGGGTTTCAAACCCTCAGCCGCTCTCACATATACCCAAATATTAGTCGAGTACCCCCCGGGCTTTGGGTGAATCATGCAATGCTGGCGGGTGAACAGTGTAAGCCGAGATAGTGCCCGAGATAAAGGCAAAAGCATAGCGATACACCAATGAAAATACAAAGTACACAAACAGGAAATTAATCCTTACGGCAAAAAGATTGTTGCAAACCGAAATATCGGGCAAACACACTTTTTCTACCATTTGATTTCTCTTCATTTTTTCTCTCAATCTTCTTGGCGTAAGGATTAGTTTACTGTTTGCCTACTTGATGTAGGGTGCCTTAAGGAATTACTGTACATTCTTAGCCAATGAGATAACGGATAGTGAGTGCAATGATTCCCTAATAGATATGAAAACCGACCAGTGAACATCCTTCGCATTTTAAAGTCCTTCAGTGTTTGAGGAAACAACTCAAAGCCCTATATCCATTGATGTTAACTTTGACCGACAAGGGACCAGGAGTGATTGCTCAAACGACTGCTGTAAAGCCACTTGGTTGTTTCGCCAATTGAAAGACTCCGTGTTCAATTAAGGAAAATGTCTGATTCAAAAAAGGTATGGTCATATATTCAGGCTGCCGTTATACTGACTTAAATGCAGTCAAGTAGCTGGAAGCTTCGCTTCAATTGAGGAGAAAACTGACCACGATAGCTAGTGCCAAGCACTGTATGTAAATGCCTACAAAAGCCCATTCCCCAACACCAACCATGAATTATAGATAAACCACACCCGTGGTCTACTTTCTCGTTTTATTTTCCATTAGCACTGTGAGTTGTTTTATGTTGCTTTCAACGTGATAAGAAAGGCAAAAGAAGACAAAGAAAATTCATCTTAGTGAAGCTAGACCACCACTGGGAGAAGCACGAGGGTCACGCGTGTTTGGTATTACTTTAAGCTCCCAAAGTTCCTTGAAAGCAAGGGATCGGAAATAACAATATAATAAAGAATAGTGTGCTTATAATAACTCTGCAAGTCTGCCTAAATTGTAAGTGCTCGTCTTCAGCTTTCGATCACTGACCAGGATGGAAATGAGTCGATCGATGACTTTACTAGTCATACTTTTATTGTCAAGCTTTACGCAAGCTCCTGAGACCTCCCGCTGAGCACTGACCGGCGCTCTTCTGTATAGCTAACCTGCGATCAGGCGTTTTTTTTTTCGGAGAAAGGGGACGTCTCCCAAGCAAAAGGGAAGTAAGATAGTGGATCGCAGGTTAGCCTTCTTCCGTCCTATCCAACCGATTCACTGTCATATTTTGGTTTGTTTTGTTTTTGTCTACCTTTTGTTTTGTTTTGTCATTTATCCATGCAAACATTTATTAAGAAATTCTTCTCTTAGATTGTGTTCAAGGTAGAAAGCACATATCCAGAAAAAATTAAAGAGTCAACGAAAGGTAAAATTGTCATCGTGAAGTTTTAATAATTATTTATTATACATGGTCATCATCACAATTGTCACTAGTAAACAGATAATGATTTGGCGCAGGTGCGTCAAACTAGGTAATAGAGAGATTAAGATCCACGTTTACGCTAAACGACAAAACTGAATTTGTACCACGTGACCAAGTTTTTCCCTTAATTGTCGTTAACTGTTTATTGCTTCGACTAAAAGACAAGTGGTTTCACGCCAGTTTTATACATAAGAATTGTTCTGGACAGTTTTTATCAGCTTATTTTCTACTCTGAGAAATTCTCAACTTGAATCTGACGTTTGCCGTAAAAGTGAATCTTAAGAGGGTGGGCGCAAGACCTCCGCCTGAATTGAAGAAGAGATACACTTAATTGCATTTTCTTAGAAAAATACTTAAAGGAAAAATGAAAAGTAAAAGCCAAATAGGAATTAATTAGGCTTACTTATAATTTAAAGCACCTTAGGGTACATAGACTTTTCCAGCGTAAACTATCTATCTTTTTTTAAGGTGATTCCTTAGTAAAAGAACCTAACATAGATTGTAGATGAAACCTGGTACACTGAGGTAACAAGTCAAGAAGATGATAAAAAAGTAATAAAAAGTGGGGGTCACCGTGCTCGTTTTGACGACACAATGCTGACAAATACGGCTATTTAGGGCCCTTTTACAAAAACCGTGGGCAGCCCAAAACTAGACAAAAAGGAGAGATTTTTTCGATCATGCATGTGGTATCGCACAGAATTTGACTTTAATGTATTGTTTATCCACTTACGTACCAGAAAAATGCCTTTTAATTCCCTTGTTTTTACTTTGCGCTCCAAAGTAGAATTAAATTGGACACGCGCTATTCGACCCGCGATAGCTCAATCCGTACAATTTAGTAAAATTGCCAAAAAACTGAACATAGATTTGTGCCAATTTTTTTCTCATCGAAAGGAAGTACTGACCTTATCAAAATCATGAAATAAAAAGTGGGGCTCACCGTACTCGTTTTTGCGGTAGAGCTACAGAAAGTGCGCACCAAATGCATTTTCTCCGATTTTTGAGAGAGGACTGGGGCAAGTTTCAAAATAGAATGTATGTGAAACCGGGAAGTAAGTATTTAAAAATCCGTTTTTACAGAATTTACATCGAGATATCACATTTAGGACACGATGTGATAAAGAAAGCGTTTAAATGAAAATCAAAGTGAGTAAGCACAAGTTAAACATCCACTATCGAAGTTCTCCGAGAGAAAGTCGAACTCAGCAACACGCGTACTAGCCTGCGAACGGCAGACGCATTTCCGGTCGTCGCTTCTCTCCCTCCCTTTCGGAGGGAGAGAAGCGACGACCGGAAATGCGTCTGCTGTTCGCAGGCTACACGTGTACTGCTTACGTTATGCACATTCCCAACACATTGAGTCTCACCTCGGCAAGAAACAACAGCAAGCAAAAATTCCAATACCGTTTCTCTTCAGTCAACTTCATTTTAATAATGTTACTTCATATATTCTTTTTTACGGCGGCCATCTTGTTATGTGCAGTGCAAAACTAGGGCATCACCTTAAAAGAATGCTGTTTCAGGGTTAGGATTGACCCTAAAACAGCATTCTTTAAAAAAAGATAGACCCTGGTGACCTCGACCCCAAACACGCATTTTACTGACACCCCCATCTATTGCTATAATCGTGGTTTATTAGTAAGCCCAACTGATTCCTATTTAGCTTTCTTCTTCTTCTTTAACATTTTTAGCTATTCAGTGTTAACGTTATTGCAACTAGGTGGTGTCCTGGAATAAGGCGAAAGGGATAAGAGGTAGAGTACGTACAACCAATTCACAACCTCTGAAAAATATATTACTCAAAAAATTATTAAAACAGAAAAATAAAACAGCTAAAAATAATTTGAATCACAGAATGAGACACTTGATAACAGCTTCTTTTCATCCTGTAGTGTGCCCTGGGCATATCCGGCCCTATAGTTGTTTAAAAAGTGGATAACTCTATCCAGCGGATAACTGTCTTTCCACCGGATAGTGGCAGGAATGCCTGATACTTATCCACTGCCTGATAGTGATTTATTGGGTAGACATATAGTGTTATCCAGCTTTCGAAGAACTGGGGCTAGAAGACCAATTTATTTATTCATACAATGTATCGTTATCCTCTCTTGATGTATAAACAAGAAGACGAGTTTTCTTTTCATCAGAATCGCTGCCCCGAGTGTACAAGGATCGCCAGCGTTATCTCCCAGCTGCCTTTGCGATGAAGGAGAGAACAACAAAGCAGCGACTGTTTTTTAGATCAGGAACATTTCCCCGGATCAAGGACGAAAGTCTATGTTGAATGTTAACATTCGCATCATGCCATGATATCACTGTTAGAAGAAGTTCACCAAAAAAATTAGCATGAATGTACATAAGGTCATATAAGAGATAACTAAACTGAGTTTGTAGGGTAGCCTGCGCGCGAGCAAGCTTTCCCGGTGGTAAGGGGCGGAGGGGGGAATACTCCTTTTTCTTCCCACCACCAGAGAGCCCTGGAGGGCTTGCTCGCAGCAGTTAACTACATATCAAGCTGTTGCTGTCTCATGAGACGTAATAACATCATCAGCAACCCTGCCATGCAATTGAGCACAAAACCAAAGAGGAGTCCAAGACAGCTTTGAATTTCTCATGCAAAAGAAAGTTTTTGTCCCTGGATGAATATGTTCCAGAATTCGTCATTTGTCACCCTCTATTCGAAACAAATCTGGAGTAAAAATAGGCCGCGAGCAGTCTCTTATTTTCCCTTTGGGTCACAGCAGATCGAGAGCATGCGACCTAAAAGCTTTTCCCAAACCTTTTCTCACCGATCGAAAGGAATGCCCGAAAATAAACGCCCAGCAAAACAAACTAAAAACAAAAAGGATGTTTTAGCTCCTAATAGCTTGACTGGCAGTGACCAGAAAACGGCTCGAATATTTTCAAAACGCTTTTTTCGGCAAAATTCCAGGAGCTATTGGAAAACAAACAAACAAAACTGCAAAACAAACAAATACTTACCTACGGCTAATCTGCTGTACATGCACAAAAAGAGCTTTTCTAACATCAGATTCATTTTTTTTAGATGTTTCAGAATTTGGGTATGAATATGTCTCTCATACGGTGCTTTTCCCCCTAAATCACATTTATTTATTTACAAGAACACCAAACGGTGATTTAAAACAGATACTTAATAATATGTTATCTCAACACATAGACAGCTGCTAGATTCCTTCCGTTATAACTTTAGTTCCGAACTGACTATTCATGAATTACAGCCGACACTATGATTTTCACTGATTATAATCTCGCTGCGAGGATGGAGATGATTCCTCACGCTCTTTAAACTCTCTTGGTAAGTTGTTTTAATTTAATATTATAGGCGTCCTTCAAGATGTTTGTCAGGTTCGTTAAGCTTAAAAATGAGGCTGTGATCCTGTGTCGTGTAGCTCAGTCGCAACTCTGGGTTACGCTGTCGATGGTCAAACTTTAAAAGTCAATAAGTTTATTACCTGTTTCGTTATCAGTCACAAATATCTGCGATAGCAGGGCTATTGCAGATTAAAAGAAAAAAAGTTAAAATAAGGGTGGATATAGGATTATCCTAAATTAGTTCCAGCCTCATCGGACATTTTCGTTATTTTAACTAACCGTACAAAATTAGTTACAACCGAATCAGTGATTGCCTTTTGAGAGAGACATGAAAGGGAATATTTGTTACGGAGCTCCTGATTTTCAGATGCCAAATAAAAGTCATTAACAATATTTCGATCAAATATTGTACTTCTATGGTAATCAAAAAGTTCAAATAAACACCGTGTTTTGTAATAAAGGGCTCTATTATTTTTTGAAGGAAATGAAGTGACCATAAGTGACAAGAAAATAAGCAGAAATCAACCGCCCCCTACCGAACTTATATTGTGAGTCAACATTAAGATAACTTACATATCCTTTCGGTTTTGAGCGAGTTATAGCACCTCCGTAACGTTGGGTAGACTGGAACAGGAATCAACGACGACAACTCTCTTAGTGAGACCAATTTTTTACAAGTCCATGCTATTTGTTTATTGGGACAAACAACATGGGCACGAATTGGATCAATTGGTTGGTTTTAGTCCTCTTTGTGTGGATGCAAGGTGCGAAAGGAATAACGGAAAATATCTCGTTTCAAAATGAAACCAGCTCGAGAAATGGTAAGTACGTGTGAGGGGAGTAAGTGTAATTGTTTCTCTTCTCCCTAAGAGCAAATCAAAAGTGTAAACCAAGAAAATTTGAATAACCACGGTTAAAAAAAAAGAAACTTACTATTTGCGAAGCATTTTTTGTTTTTGTCATTACTTTGATATTTGGTTTTACTTGCAAATGCAACCCGCTCAAGGTAATTTATGTTCCAAATATTATTGGTCAAAAACGAAAATTGAAATATTTTTAAAAAAGCAACCCTTTTTTAAACATTGAGAAATATCAAAATCTTAGGCGGCTTTTCCTTTCGAGTTTAAATTTGCATATCAGCTAATCAAATAGATCTTGGCAAGTTACTGGCGATAAAAAATTAAATGAAAACAAAACACTCTTGTTTTGTAGGACATCGCGGCATACTCTTTTCAAAAAAGTATTTTTATGTAAACAAGGCTTTTCCAATTAGTGTGCTTGAAAAATTACTTTTCCTATTGCTTTCTTTTAATCTATTCGTGGTTAGCCAATGAAAAAGCAAGATCATGGGGATAGTTCAATTTTGTGAGACCATCTGGTAACTGGCAGTTATAAATATGTTTAGTACAGATGGCCTTAAAGTAAGTTTTTCCCGCGACTTGTGATTTTCTCGGTTAAGAAGTGGAAAAAAGCACTTTGGTTTTAGTTCTTGAAAAGATTGGCTTATTTGTGGGTATCTCCCTCTCCCATCACTGCGTGGTCGCCCCGCTGTTAAGCGGCTGGAATTAAAGGGGTAAAAGCTCGGAACAGAGCTAAGTTGTGCTCAGCACTTATTTCACGGAAGCCAAAGCCGAAACGGTTGAGTTGAGGCAACAGCTTGCTTAACCCACAAAAAGAAATGAATTTAGGGAAAAACAAAACGTCAGTGATACCAAAAAATACTGATTTCGGCCGTTTAAATCTACCTCATCCTCAGTCAATGATAGCATGTGCATAAAAGGATTGGCTACAGATTTCTATTTGGACTGTTTCATCTGATCCGTCATTTTGAAACTTTTAAATCTACAGATCTTCAGTATGTTACCGATCCAAACTACAGCCTGCCAACGAAAGTTCTCTTCACCGCCGCCTTGCTGTTTTCTTTTCTGGTCTCAATTACTGGCAACTTTCTTGTGATCTACGTGATAATGACAAACCGCGTCATGAGAACATCAACGAATTGTCTCATCATGAATTTGGCTTTTTGCGATTTTCTTATCTCATTGCTCCAAACCCCTTACCTTATTAAACAACTTTATATTGGAAAGATATGGTTCGGAGGAGCTGCGGGGAAAGTATTATGTAAATCTTACTCCTTTGGTGGATCTGTTTTACTCAATAGCTCAGTTTATAGCCTGGTTGCCATAGCAATTGATCGTTTCCTTGCAGTCACACGACCGCTGACCCATAAGACGACATCCAAATTGGTGCTTAAGATAGGAATTCTTTTAATTTGGATAGTTTCAACTTTACTTTCATTAAGACTGGTGATATCGTCAAGAATCCATTATGGCGAGGACGGAACCCCTAACTGTATGTATTTCGCGCAAAGCGCGAAAGAACTTTTCACCTCTGCGTCATGTTTCATTGGATCGTTTGTTCTCATAGCTGTTCTATACTCCATAATAGCCTATCGCCTTTGGATGCGCAAACTTCCCGGTGAGTGTTCCAACACTCAGAAAGAGTTGGCCAGACGCACAGCACGAAGGGTCACACTTCTAATGATTTTAGTCGTACTGCTGTTTGCAGCCTCGTGGACGCCGGCTTTTGTGACTCTTAGCTTAGCTATGTTTCATCCAAGCTCCGTTGAAATCTTCATGCAATACCCATTTTTGATTGCATTCACTTACTGGTTGATACTTACCAGTAGCGCTTGCAATCCATGCTTGTATTTTATATTCATTGAAAGTTTCCGGTCAAATCTGAAAGCTGTCTTTATAAATGCTGTTCTACTCGACTAAGGGTTTGTCATGTTGGAGCCGCGAAAAGACAAAGTCTGGCTTTGGAAACGAGGGAGCAGATGAGAAGGCAACCAATGATAGAACTGATGGCGTATTCGACTGCAAGCAATACGAACACTGAATTGCTGGAGAAATAAAGGAGGGCGGCAACGGACATGAGTAATGAAGAAAGAGGGAGCACTGGAACCTAAACAGCGAAACCGGGCCTCAAATCAACAAAACTTGATAACTTAACCACAAAAAAACAAATCGACGAGCCGAACGAAAGAAGCGGACAAGGATCCAAAACTTCTACTTTCACGAATGGACCACTTGTTTGGGCGGCAATGTGGAAAAAAAATATAGAAACTCCCAAAATCATTTTTCTGGCATGCAACAAAAAAGTTTAACTAAAGAGAAACAAACTGCCTCTTCGCTTCAAGTTATGCCGTGAAACTTTGACTGACTTTGTCTGAAGGATCGCGTCGAAACATTACCGTAACTGTTTTTGATTCGAAGTTGTCATCCGTGGTTTAGTTTTTGTCTTCCACTGAAAGAACTGCATGCTTCATTCTGCTTTCACTGTTGTTTTAGAAAGGCTAAAGGGTACTTAGTTTAGAACACCCAAACCTTAAACCGGTGAAGATTGAGCAAGATTATATAAGAACAGGCCATCCTTGCCCTTCAACAATACTTCTCAGTTCTTCCCTCTTCTTCTAATGACATAAATAATCATATCTGTCTTCGGCCTCGCAAGATAATAACACCCTCCTCGATATGCACTGTATCGGCACTATATCGAATAACTCCCACGCTAACACGAATACGGGATATATCGGATAAAGCTCAATATGATCACACTGATTTCAGAGCGGTTTCTGTAACGGAGCGAAGCTGTGCCGCGCCGATCTTGGTCTGGTCACCAATGAAAAGTAAAAGAAAGTGATTTTTGCTGTCTTTCTACTCCCGTGTGGCACGAAATTTTTGCCGGGTTCTAATTTTTGCGATATTTCCGGGTTTTTTTTTCAGTGATCCGCGAAAATTAAGTTCCCGCAAATAAAAAGTATCGCACAAATTTTCCCCGCAAAAATTTACTCCAGAGTAAATATTCTAACCTGAATTCACTACACAAAAATACAATACCAAGAAATCGTGTCTGTTCAATTACGGCTTGTCTTTTTCGTAAAGAAACAAAGCGGTATATAAAGAAATACAGACGCACACCGCAGTATTGTTTTAAAATATGCATTTCTATTGCACGTACTCAATAAAAACGAAAGTATTGTCAATGCTGGGTACTGGGTACTTTCTGAAAATGGCCAAAATTAATTCCCAGCAAGAAAAACCAATCTTTCCTAGTCGCAAAAATTAGTTCCCGCAAAACACAAAAAATTAACAATCCGCAAAGATAAACTCCCGCAAAAATTTCGTGCCACACGGTATATTTCAACCCATTTTATCGGCCTTCATCGGGGTGAATGGCCGTCACAAGAATCACACATCGCCCCATGTAAGGTCATGTAAAGGAATCCAAAAACAGTCTTGAATTCTGGATTCCAAGCCGTACGTGGATTCCGGATTAGGGCTACCCTGCCGGGTACAAATCGGGTACAAATCGTGCCAAAGTTCCGACACATACTTACTTTATCTTCACAGGAGCCGTTTATCGGCTCCTGATCTACAGTAGTGTTTATGAGATAAATGTTTACAATTTACGGCTGTTACACTCAATTTGAACTCACGCTCGTTACTGCTTTGAAAAAATACTACTTTCATGAATTTTATTAAAATGACCCCCATATATTGCTCCCTTATCTAAAAATGACCCCCCAAAGCCAATCAAAATTATGAAATTGACCCCCAGCAAAATTCACGCTCACCCCCATCCTCCATCCTCACAGATTCCCTTTTGAGGAAAGTAGGAGAAAAGTAAGTATATGCCCCATTGTCTTGTCAGCTTCATTGAGAACAATGAATTCCCGCTGTTACGGCCCTTTTTGTGGATGAGGGTGGGGGCGGGGGGCGTGGTTGGCGATTGGGGACGCTTGAAATCCAGAGAAGCCCATAGAATTTTACTGATCTCCAAAGAAGTTACAAATTAAATTAAATTCAAACAGACATGTACATACAAACATCCCCTGCTTGCATATAGCTTGGCTTATCGAGGCGGACAGAGGAAAGCGTAAAGTAATTTACCAGGAGGAGACTAAGAAAAGGAAAGGAAAAGAAAGATAAATGACACATCAAGATGGAGTGAAGTTATTACAATACAGCTTTACAAAAATTACAAACTTATTTTACATTTCATGTCATCTTGCTTAGTTTGTGCTAAATAATCGAATGTATGTATAGCAAAACTGAAACTAATATTCGTGTGGTTTATTTAATGGGCTCTGAGTCAATAGCCCATGAGGCCGAAGGCGAAAAGGGCTATTGACTAAGAGGCCATGAGGGCGAGAGGAATAATTATTTTCGTAAAATCCAACTAGTTGGTCAAAAATATCGAGAATAAAAAAACTTTTAGCTAGTTAAAGCTAGACTTTAATCCTTTTTTGCAGCCAAAAGCCCGAGCTTTTCGCTACTAGTGGACTATAACATATACCCTAGTAGTAGCTTAACCAATCAGAACGCACCATTGATAATAGACCACTAGTTGGATTTTTCTAAAACTTATTAGCCTTCTTTGATATAATGCCGGCAGCCATCACCCCCAAAAGAAACTCCCACTGAACAGCAAACTGGAGCCAATATTCAAAAGCTCCATTTTTCCCTTGATAAGGTTTTTCCAATCTCGTTCCCAGAGTTCTCTCCTACCCTTCCCTACGGAGCGAGAGGGAGACGAGTAGGAGAAAGAACCTGGGAACGAGGTTTGTTTTTTTTTCAAAATTAATCTCTTAATTCTGTCTGCCAAATGCTCTTAGACCTGATCTGAGGAAACCCACGGTACGTGACTATTATCCCTGCAAGAAATTTTCTGATATTTTTCTTCACTGAGAAATAGCCTTACCTTTCTACAAAAAACAGCTTGTGTTTTGAAGGGGCGTTTCTGTTTACAACAACTGTCAATTGAATGTGTCACGAGGGAATTCTTGAAAACAATGTTCTAATCAGTCGTCGCGTTTCACTGAAGTGATTTTCAATCCTTTCTCCTGTACTGGAATTAAGAGACCTGGAAAAATGACGAGTTTTAACTTTGTGAGAATCCTCTGGTATTACAAGGTTTTATCACTGCTTAAACATGTCGCTGTTGCAGGTAAGCCAATAACAGAAGTAAAAATACGTTATGTATTATAGAGACAAGATAAGAGATATTTCAAACACGAAAGGATCAGAAAATTTTCCCGTCGTTGTGTAATGTCTGAACGTCCCAAGTTCTACGCCGGAAAAAGAAAAACAATTTTAGCAACAAACTGAGCCGGTACTTCTTTGGCTTTATATTTTGGAAGAAGCAATTCTCGCCAGACTTCATTTTGTCAGGCAAATTCAACCTTTCAGTATAAATATTAACTTTTTACTAATATTAAATTTTAATGCCTGCCATTCGAATGAGGTAGATTTTTACAATATCATTTCTTTCGAGCTTCCCTAGATAATTTCTCTTTAAAACATTTATGAGTGATTTCTCTCTACCATTCTCTATAAAATCTATTCAATTTGATTGCCCTTGAAGACCTTATATTATCGGATGTTAACAATAATATTATTTTTTTTCTGCCCATGCATTGCTCAACAATGCCAAAGGTTAGCATCCCAGTTGTCTTATCTGTCAAATAGAGCGTTAAAAGTTGTTTACTTTTCATTCCTTCAGTGATTTCTGGAATTTAAATGTTACGAAGCACAAAAGAAAATCATTCACCAATATAGCAGTTAAACCCGGATCAAACTCATTTTACTCATTTTGCTAAATCTGATGATTTTTTCCCGGGGGCACTCTCTATAATGGACTTTACGGGCCGGGGAGGCTTTGCCCGAAAGGGGTACTTTTTTCAGGCTTGTACAGCCGCCCCTGAAATGATCCCGACCCCGAAGTGCTCCCCAACCCTTAAATGATCCCCAATTCGACCCCGAGATGACACCGATCCCGAAATGATCCGCATCTCTCTTAACGTCGACCCCGAAATGATCCCCAATTAATTCTTGGAATGGAATGGTATTCCACCACGGAATTATTACAAGTCCGTTGCACCGTATACGTTCTTGAGTCGCATTTAACATTTCCGAATTATGTGATTTTTTAGGGCTCTTGTCATCTAATTGCCTTTATGTCTACTTTTGCATCTTCAACGTCATATTAAAATTTTGAAAAGTGTTAAAACACCATTCTTAAAATCATTATCCAAGGTATACAGTTTTATCATCATTTTTAGAATTTAACATCTCTCCAGTTTTCTCTATGACCCGGGCTATAATGACCTAAGTAGTTATGTTACAAAATGTTATGCATTGGAATGTTTCAAGATGAATGTTTTTAATTTCTTGATGTTATCAGATGCAGCTCATGGTGTTGCTAAAAATATACTAGACTTTAATTTGTGTATCAAATAATATTTTCTTTTAATCCAGTTCAAAGTGTCATTCCAAATTAATTTCATTAAAGAATGTGAGCGAGTGAGGATTACAGTAAAGCTTTAATTAATGTTGTGTATTTTGCTCGATCCATAGTTCTAGTGTATCATTGCATTTCTAAAATTAATTGGGGATCATTTCGGGGGTAAATGGGGATCATTTCGGGGTCGACGTGAAGAGAAATGGGGATCATTTCGGGGTTGATTTTGGTATAATTTCAGGGTTGGGGATCATTTCGGGGTCTTTACAGGCTTCAGGTATCTGAAAGGGTAGGGATTTAGGCAGTCGAACGATTTGAAAGAGTAAGAAAATCTGTCATATTCGATCTGTAAAAAGGCCCCCATTTAAGGGCTCACAGATGCATACTATGGCTGTGAAAAAGTTGAGGTTCTGGTTTTGTGATTTATTCGTTTTTAAAAGACAAACTAGCTGTGTGAAAGGGTACCATTTGTCAATAGAAGGTGTACTGAAGGGGTACCTTCTCTGTCAAAACTGCTATATAAAAGGGTAAGGAGTTGGACCTATGAGTGGAGCCTCCCCGTACAAAACTTTGTTGAGGATCCCTCGGTTGATTTTATATTACTTCTCAGTTGTTTGCGTATAAAGCGAATAAGGGCTCGGCAGATGCGCAGTAAAAACTGTTTGTCTTTACCTTTCTTTCACTAGTAGGGTCGAAATAGGGTGAGAGTAGAAATAGATGAATGGGAATTTCTCTGTACGTCCTGGTTTTAACTTAATAATCACTGACGTTATCAGAACTTTCCCCTTTTATAATAGGAAACGAAACTATTGGGACAACAATATGCAAGCTTGTTTCAGGTGTTCAGACAGCAGGAACAGCAAATGAGCGAAAGGGGCGGGGATGCTTATCGTCTCCCTAACTAAATTTTGGGATTTTGGCCTCACTAAGGGTGTTCTGGACAAAACGCAATTCTAGTTAGCGGTAAAGGTCTCTTTTAGGGTTGCACACGAAGAATTATATATAAAAATATATATTTTCAATTCTTTTTATTTACTCTATTCATGTAATCAAAGTTTAAAGTGGTCTTGTTTAGGGGTCAAAAGAAGGTTGAGCCACGCCCAGACTGGTCTCCTTTAGCGGTTTCATTCAAAATTTCCGACGAGCATCCCCGCCCATTTCAAATGGAGGCCCCCCCGGCCGTGCAGCCTGTTTCCAGGCCCTCTAATTGGCTTATATACGCACGTGCTTTCTCGAGCCGTCGATTGAGGAAGTAACAAGAGGCTTAGGCTGCATTGAGGGCAGGTTTCATTTTTCCACGTTTTTTCAAGCAAGTGCAAAGTGGGCATGGAGAGGGAGACATCCCTAAAGGGGAAAGAGGGGATAATATATGACTGTTATTGTTATGACTGTTCAAGTTTCATATCATGTAGAAAATAACCATCAATACGAAGTACAGGGTATTTTAACCCAAGTTTTCAGTCTCTAAAAAGATAAATAGTCCACATGACAAAAAGAAAATTGCACGTCAGCTCGCCAAATGGAAATGAATTTTAACGTTCTCGCTCGTGGCAAGAACAAGATTGTTTTTGCCACTCAAAAAAAAGATGCATATCTTTTCGCCACCGTGTAATATCCCCTATTTATCATGATAATTCCACAGATACAATAGCACTTAAGTTTGTCACCCAGCCGAAGGATGTAACAACTGCTGAAAATACAAACGCCACAATATCTTGCGTAGCTATCGGCTCGTCCCCAGTGACTTACACATGGACCCATAATGGCACAATGTTGACACTCAGTTCCAATACTGGACGATACAGATTAATGGGAGCAGATGGAAATTTAACCGTTATCAACGTAACCTGGAATGACGCTGGAGTGTACAGATGCATTGCAAGGAGCAGCATGGGATCAGCTCTGAGTTTGAAGGCCGTAATACGGATAGCTTGTAAGTACTACCCTTCTTTATACAGAGGTTTTCAATTAATTTATCGCAAAATTAACCTACCTCTGGTCAATCACGTAAGATAGTCAGTTCAAAATCAGTCGCAAAATGCAAAACACTGCATTTTGAATACAGTTGAACCTCTGCTTTGTTCCCAGACCTCCTTTTCTCGATGTAAATTTGCGCATAAAGGAAGGCGGGAAGGAGGAAACTGGCTCTTAACATTAGCCTGAGTATCAGACGTTTCTGGGCAAAAGGGGAAGGATGGAAGCGAAAAAGGGAGCTTCCTTTCTCTTCTCCCCCTCCCCCCTATCCCATCTAAAATCTCCTCTCCCCTAGCCCCTTAGGAAGGCCTGATACTCAGGCTACTTAACATCGGCTCTTCGTTCTCCTTCCCGTGGTCCCTCGCGCGTCGTCACCAGTCACTCGCATTTTGCACTCGCATTCGTTCCCGACCAAAGAGCAAAAATGAAGCAACTGATCAGGAGAAGGCAGGTCGAACCTCTTTTAAGAGGTTCCAATATTCATATTCCAGCAACTTAAAAGTTGCCGGAATATAATCTTCCTGGTGATTGTAGTCCTGAAAAGGAGTGTTGTTGATATTGACTGAAGTTTCAAGAATCTATGTGGTAGTCATTTTCAGAGTGAAATTGACATGACTTAGGCCTGAGTTCAAGCCATCAACTTCACTGCCAAGGGAACTCGGATTCCGGAATCCGAGAACTTTTTGCTTGTGGAATCCGGATTCGTCAAAATTTTGCTTGTGTAATCCGGAATACCGTGCTTTGGAATCCGGAATACAGCTCAAGGAATCCGGAATACCAGTAACGATGGAATCCAGAATCCGAGTTGCACTGAAATAGAGTGGAATCCAGTACCTGGAATCCGGAATCCACGGCCTGGAATCCAGAATCCAGGACTGACTTTGATTGCCTTACATGAGGCGAATCAACTAAGTAGAACCTCTATTAAGCGGCCAGTCTCATGGAAGATACAACTGACATCTTAATACTGATTCACTGACAATTTGTTTCACCCGAACTCTTGTAACTGACCGCTAAGTAAGTCTTTATGTGCAACAATGTAGCTCGCATGTTTCAGATCGAGTGCGCATGATAATTGGCGCTTTAATTCGTAAAATACCCTGGCTCCAGAGATCCGTCCTCGAAAAACTCAAATTGAAATCACAGTGCGCACTGTTTGATAAAGCTCAAGAGACGGAAAATAGATGAAGAAAAAAAATTTGGCACAAGGGTATTCGTAAACCGGAAAGGAGAAAGAAGAGGGTCCAAGGCATTTGTTTCTTTCCTCAATCCCCCTCCCCTAGATTCCTTTTCTTCCCCACCCTTTTCGACGCATGGCAAAAGGGCAATAATGTAGACGGTTAACGTCGGATTGCTTGTCTCTTGTCTTGACGATGAATATGTTGAAGAGGTTACACATCCTCATCTCTCCCGGGTATATAACGGACCTCAGTGGCCCGCTAACCCAATTGGTTAGAGCGCCGCACTTGCCGGTATCGCAGAGGTCGGGGCTCAAATCCCGACAAGCTTGTTTCTTTTCAAGCCTCTCTTTTCGCAGCTGCATAAGTAGCGTCTTCACTCCGCAGTTCCAATAAATGAAATTCATATATTTAATATTTCATAAACATTTTAAAAAGAAATATAACAAAGGGCAAGGACACAAGAAATAATTGTCACTTTTAATCTAAATTTTAAAGCTGCAGCATTTACTTGGTTAACTTACACGCAGCATCAATAAACATGGTAAAAATTTCCTCAGTGCAGCATGCAATATTTTAAAAGAAAATAAAAATCTATTATATCTAACCAGTCTGATATCTAACTAAAATATTTGATAATGATATGTTATTGAACACATATTAAACCTAGTTTTCAAGGATGCTGTGTGTAAAACCATTCAAAAGTGCTGCGAAGCTGTTCCACAATTCATCTCCAGTATAAAACGGAAAGTTTTCTTTAAATAATTGGTAAAGGAATCAATCGATAAGAATTGATGTCGCCACGAGACACAAATCTAGAGATCTCAGATACTCAGGAATACGCCCATGATTATAGTGATTACATGATATATGTATTTGGTGATTAAGCTTTCGCCAACGACCCATTGCCCGGAACAAATCATCGACATCCGGGCAGACATTCAAATACGGGCTGCACTAGTTTTGAGCTTTTGAGAAAGACCAAAGTTCCCAAATCACATTTTTAGTAATAAAACTTGAGATAATATTCTTCACTAGTAACTGTGCTAAAAGAAGAAACAATCTTTCCACAAATTCATATTTTTTATGCGACATTCCCAGTTCACGTTTTGATCAATATGCACTCTAAGATATTTCGCAATGACACTTGCATCTCGAGATGACCGTTTGTAATACAGTTGGAGTTTTAGAAACCGCTGATACATTTAACCTGCGTCACAGACCCTCTACACCTCCTGTGGGAATATACTGACCAATGACTTACATTGAATCGTCTGCGTGTACCAGCTGCTACACAGGCTATGATAGCTTAAACACAAAGTCAGTTTTAGTCAAGTTTAGGATTAGCTTATTGACTGATAGTCATCTGTATACACCTGTTAAAACAATCACTAGCTTTTGCGTTTTAAATCTGCGGTGGCACAGGTGAGGCTGGTGAATTTTGGTAATTCATGAGTTGGATTTTTCCCACCCAGAAAGGTTTTACTAATGCTGTAAGAGAATTATCGCTAAGATTATTTTTTGCGCAGAAAAAACAACTTCAAGAACAGCAAATTTTTCTGGTTGTATTTTTCGTGGCTTCGCTTCTCTTATCCTCCTAAAATATAACAACGAGTCATGTCACTTATGATATCATATCTCTTATCCATGGCAACTGATTCGGCTGAATTGTGTCGGAAATGAATAAACAGCTATCAAACAGATGGTCTCCACGACACTACGTTTGTAAGACAGATCAAGGCTAAAACAGGCAGTTATTTCTTAAGATATCTCAGTTGTTATAAAACTGAGAACCAATTAATATTTGACTATATTAAAATGAACTATAAATTAGGAGAACAGAGAAACTGTCTGATTGTATCTTTTACAGCTCTCCTTACTTGTCTGATCTTCCAGCAATAAACTATCGGGTTTAACGACGAGTTTAAATAAACTAAAGTAACTGTGATTTGCCTAGCAACGTAAACCGGAAAAGACATCTCTCTTGATTGGGTTGTATGCCGTAGTATACCCACTGGTAGATAACAAACTAACAATGTTACCTGCACCCACAGTGCACTGTACACTGCCTTTTTGTAAAGAGCTACGTTGCGTGGAATTGCTTGAATCGGGTGTCCGTGAGAGTGTTCCATCTGAACATCAACTTGATTGCGACGCAGAGTGAAAAAAATTTTTGAATAAGAGCAAATTGTGGTGACCCCACAAAGAATCAAAACTATAAAGCACCACAGAAAAGTTACAAAAGGATTCCAAAATTGTGTTAATGCGCCGACAACGCACAAAACCCAAATAACGATTACAGCTATACATGTTCCTTTGTAAGTGACAATTTGTCTGTATCTGCGCACCAGTAACAGGCGAAGAAGTCGTTCCACGCTTATTGTAGTCAAGGTACACAGAGACACCAAACATAGTACAAAGGCTGCAATCAAACATGTCACACGAGCGTAATGGCAAATTCCGTGTCTTTTGTTCACCACGGACACCAAATAAACAACATACGCAGGCTCCACAATGATACCAACAAAGAAATCAGTTATCGCCAGGTTACGATACAGGAGTTTGGACTGCGGACTAAGTGATGATTCTCTTCGAAGCGCAACTAGGATCAGAGTGTTGCCCAAAAGTGCAGTTATCGACAGGAACAAATTTACCACTGCAAGAAAGATCAACTCGCCGTGTACTTCCATAAAAACTTCTTTCGAGCAATATTGTTCCAGTATTCCTTGGTTTTTATCGCCTGTAAAGTTTGTTACTGCCATTTGTCTGTGAAATACAAAATTAAGCGGACGAGTGCCTTGTGTAGTGGCATATATGACTCAGTTATGGTAAGACACCTTAGGGTGTTTTTAAACACTCAGTTTATTTGTAGATTAACAGATTAATTAAAAAGGGGGCAATTTCCTTTACGACTTTGCCCTGTTTTTGTAACCTTTTCCTGTTTTGGCTTAAATTTCCAGTTCACTTTCCTGTGCTCTGCTGACACACAGTGTTAGTGCTTCAAAATAAAACTCACACGATGGGATCGTATTTAAGACAACTAACTGGGTGGTCATTCTAATACGAAGCCCTGTTTTGTTAATTATTAGCAGTACAAATTTCTTTCCTTTAAGGTGATGTTGAACGAGACGATTCGCAACAACGAGTTCTAGCGCAACGCAGCGCTGCAACATTGTTGCTACATTGTTTTGAATAGTTACAACATTGTTCCAACATTAAAATTACGCTCCCCTGCACTAAAAATCGTCGTTGCGAATCGTACCGTGTAACATAACCTTACCTGAGCAAAAACAGCAGTTGTGTAATCGATCCCCAACTTCAGTTAGATTAGCGAGGACTGTTATAGTCTAAACATAATATGGAATGGCGTGCGTTTGTTTTGAAAGCGAAAACGAAACCGGGAATTCTCTTTACTGATAACGGCGACCTGTTTACTATCAGGCTCGCCAGAAGTGAAACGCTTTGCATTGATCACTCGGCCGGCAGCCCAGGGGAAGTATTCGCCCCATGTAGAGGAATCAGGATTCCGGACTCGGGGAAATTTTCGCTTGTGGACTGATTCCGGAATCCAGGAAATTTTGCTTTGAATCCGGGATCTCTGGGCTTTGGATTCCGGAATACAGCTCAGGGAATCCGGACTGCAGTACCTGGAATCCGGAATCCACGGCATGGAATCCAAAATACAAGACTGTCTTGGATTCCATGGGGCGAAAGTGTCAAGGGTGTCCGGCTTCCCATGAATGGATTCATCAGAAAGGAACGTTTTGAAACTGAAACTGGTCCAGTGAGACGTTTGGTAGAAGGTAATGTGAAATGACAAGGAATGTTGAAATGATCAGCTCAGTGTAAAGTATAGGCAAGAATGTGCACGAGTTGATCCCCGGGGTGGGGATACTCCCTCTAATGGCCTACGCAAGGAGGCTCCGCCCGAAAGGGATGCTTTTTACAGGCTTTAGGTATATGAAAGGGCAGGGATTTCGTTTGTTGAAGTATGTGAAAGGGTAGGGAAATCTATCACTTCGGTCCTTAAAAGGACCAAAAAGGGCCAACAGACGCGTTTTAGGGATGTGAAAGAGACAAGAAAACTTCGTGGTTTAGTGATTTATCCATGTTAAAAAGACGGTTAATTTACGGCAGTTAAAAGGAATGCAAAGTTCTAAATTAGATATGTAAAAGGGGTACCATTAATTTGTCGATAGAGGGTATACAAAAGGGGTACCTCTTCTGTCAAAAATAGGATATAAAAGGGTAAGGGGTTGGATCTCGGGATAGAGCCTCCCCGTATAAGACGTTGTTGAGTAGCCCACCCATCCCCCCCTTCACCCCCCCCCCCCACGGGTTGAACGCCTTGCTCATGTGGTCTATTTCTGGGATAGTAGAGTTGAAAGGAAGGATCGATAACTGCAAAGAGTCAAAGCTGCAAAGATAAACTTTATTATTACTGAGCTTACTTGTAAGTAACGCTGCAAGCTAGATGAATTCATCAGCTTGAGATCCTGTGAGGTACGCTCGACTTGACCTATCAAAAGCTACCGTTTCTTTGAGTAAAATGAAATTATTGTTTGCAAAATATTCCTCCAAAACAAATAACAAAGGTATAGTTTTTCAGGGTTGCTTCACTTTTTTTCTTACATTATAAAATTTTGGAATATCCAGCCGCACCAACTTCATTCAAATATTTTAATGATATTCATAATTGATGTTACGCTATAGTGTCCCGATATCAAAATTTAAGCTTAGCTGTTTAAACTTCAAAACAAAAACCGCCCATGTTCTCATGAAATCTAAACTAAAATCATGGCAATTTTCTAACCTGCATATTACTTCAATGAAACTGGACAATGCATTGTCGCCAAAAAATAAGCTTATAGATCAAGAACTAACTCGCCAAACAAAGCAGTTGCCTGATAGTAACTTTCATAGCTTGCCTTACTTCCCTGATCTTCCAGCTATAAAGCAGCGGGTTTAATGACGAGTTCAAATAAACTAAAGTAACAGTTAATTGCCTAGCAAGATAAAGTGATATAGGCACTGGTCCTTTTTCAGGTGTCATAGCCACTACTATGCTCACTGGCACATAACAAACAACGATCGTTACCTGCACCCACAGTGCACTGTAAACTGCTTTTCTGTATCTAGCTTTGTTTAGTGAGACTGTTTGGCCTGGTTGTCCTTGAGAGGCGTCGGTATGAACTTGAATTTGGTTACGACGAAGAGAGAAGAAAATTTTTGTGTAACAGAAAATTGTGGTGGTTATACAAAGAGTTGAGAGTATTCTGTCCAGCTGTCGCGCTATGCTAGGATTCCACGAATACGGAGATGCGCGGACAATGGAAAAAATCCATAAACAAATTACGGTTACAACTTTTCTTTTAGAACTTGCGACTTGTCTGTATCTGAGCCCCAGCGAAAGAACGAGAAGTCTGTCCACGCTTATCGCAGTCAACGTGTAGAAAGTCAATGCACTAAGTGTACTAGTGATGAAATAACATGTCACTCGTGTGTAATGACAGTTCTTATAACTTTTGTTCACTACAAACATCAAATAGGCAATATACATAGGCTCCGCGATGACACCAACACAGAGATCAGTTATCGCTAGGTTACGATACAGGACTCTGGAAGCAAAAGGAGGACTCAGAAGTGAGGATTCTTTGTGCAGAGCAACTAGGATCAGGGTGTTCGCCAGAAATGCAGCAATCGACAGGATAATCATTACCACTGAGAGAGAGATCAACAGGCTGCGTACTTCCACGGAAAATTCAAACGAACAGTACTCTTCTAAACCTGTCTTTTGGTTTTCATCTTCTGTCAAATTTGTTAAGGCCATTTCTCTGCAGTGCCGATAATGACAGGCATGCCGCCGGCCCTTGTATTTGTACAGTTCGCAACACTAGATCGGAAGTAATTTTCTATTGTGTACCTCTTGTTTTGGCGTCGTTTTCCTGTTTTTGTTTGCAGCCATTTGTAATTTGACTATCATAAGCTCTACAAATCGTCCCTTTTGTACAATTAATTTTGAAATGTTAACGTACATATGGAAAATTCTAATTGCTATCCCTGTTGCAGCTTACCTCATAGTTGTTTGCATATTTTTCGCTTGCTTTGATTTAGTAATATTCTTTATCGCAGAAAAAAAACTGGCGGAGTAGTCTAAACATAGCAAGTTCCATGCGTGAAAACAAAAACAAGGGGGTCTGTTATCATTTGTCTCGCAATAACTAAAGCTTGATATCGCTCCATCGTTTGGCGTACGTGTGGCAACGCATCCCAAACTCAAACCGCGAGAAGCCTGGACACGAACACTTTGTAGAAACTCGATTTCTAGTTGGGTCAAGTACCGGAAACGGAAATACGTCATAGGCCTCAGTTAGACTTCTCGTTCCCGGAGCCCGTCGATTCTTAACTTACATGGTGTTTCAGTTGAACAGTTAACAGTTCCAAGCAAATAAAACATATTTAGAAACGCTACGGGGGATATTGAGAACGCTCAGTTCCAATAATTTACAGTTACACTGATGACATACTACCTCTTTGCGGAACTTAGATCGGCAGGCGATCGAACTTTGCGAATTCACTTTGGCGAACTGCATCATTTGGAAATCCCTAGCAGTAGCTTTACTGGGCGGCTATAAGAGCTGCCTTAAATTTAAACGTTCACGTTCTTTTATGTCACTCAGGCTCGATAAGTGACCAAAGCGTCCAAGATACTGGGCTGATACTCATTTTGGTCTTGATAAAAACAAACGTGTCTTTCTCAAACCCATTTCTGTGATTTCATCTGGGGGAAGTGGTCCTTCGAGTGCCTTAGTGGGATTTCTCAACCACCGAGAGACTGTAAGCAAACCTATTAAAACATGATTGTCGGATTATCGCTTAACTTAACTGAATTGAAAGCGAAGAACAAATAAACAGAGAATCGAATCGAATGTCGTGTCTGTTCTGGTGGAAAGTTAAACCAAACCGGGACTATGGTTTCCGGCTTTGTTTTTTTTTTTTTTTGTTTGTTTTTTTTTTTACATTACTGATAATGGCTTTGTTTTTCGTATGCGTTTTTCCTCTAAAAACAGGGCACCAAAATCGTTAAAAATATCCTGGCTATACCAATAAAGAATTCCGTCTAGCTTTCACCCTGTCATCATGATAACGAAGGAAATTAAGTCGTAGGAAAAACCAGGAAAAGTGCATTTAAAAAAAAAGCGTTTGTCATCCGCTTTAGAGCAGATATTTCTTAAAAAAATAGTTAAAAAGTGCTGTAAGATTTTTTAAATTTTAAATTTTTCCGGGACGTTTGCTAGAAAATAATGTGGAATGGCTAGGGAGGGTGGAAATGATTAGCTGGCAAAGACTGGGAACAAATTAGCCCTCTCCCTGCCCCTCCACCCCTCAAGAATTGGGAAGATTTCATGAATTCTCCCGAGTAAAGAGAGTTCTGTGATACGAGATCGGGGACTGATTTGAAAAGATACGGAAATCTTAAGGCTAAGCTGCAAACATAGCTTTATTATAACTGTTTAATTTTACATTCTTTAGCTTTTCACTTATGTTCTCTGGCAAGAATTTCATAAAGTAACGCCTTCTATGCGTTTTTTTTACTTGTATGTCAAAATCGGTCCGATGTCTACAAGAGCCAAAATTAACATAAGATCGTCCAATGAATAAAAATAAAAATTTATGTTTAACAGCAAAGTCTGTATCCCTTTGCCCACTGAAAAGCAACTGTTTGTGTAACTGGATACGAGCTTTACCAATCAGCTGACCAATGCACATGTTATTTTGCAGAAGGAAAAGCGAAGGTTGAATCGAGTCAAAACATTGATATCGAATGGAGTGTCTGTTTTGAAAGAAAACGAACCCGAGAAGCTTCCCTGAAGCTTCTCGAACAATACTGATAACGGCTTTGTTTATCGTTCTTTACAAGTGGAGTCGCTGTAATATATTGATCGCAAAGTTCCTACCGCTCAATTCGTCTGATTCTGAACAAACTCAGCTAGCCTGTTTACAGACCCTCTATTTTCTGCTTCTAAAGGGAAACTCAATACCCGAATCTCGAAAGATGAGTTAGGTAAAACGGCTGTGGAATTGTGTTTCAGTCTTTGATTAGATATCCTATTCAACTACACAGTAATTTTTAAGGAGTTATTTTAACTCCTATAGTGGGGTTAATTTAACTCCTCAAAGTGGAGTTATTTTTTTGGGAGTTATTGTAACTCCAAAAAGGAGTTAAATCGGATCTGAAGGGAGTAAATTTTACTCTATTTCGGAGTTAATTTTGTAAGAGTTAAATCAACTCCAAAAAAGAGTAAAACATTACTCCATTTAGGAGTAAAATTTCAAATGCATAAAACTCACTCACTTAAAGGAGTTAAAGTAACTCTCTTTTGGGGGTTATTTTTAAGGGGTTAATTAAACTCCATTGTAAGAGTTGTTTTTACTCCATCTGATGGAGTCACTTTAACTCTACAAGGTGTATATATTTTTTACTCCTATAGAGGAGTTAATCCAAAGGAGTTAAATTAACTCTCAAGGAAGAGTTATATTAAATCGGAGTTAAATTAACTCGTTTTTGGAATTCAAGAAATTATTAATACCCTGAAAGTCGTCCTCTATAGATTTGGCCATAACAGTTTTCTGTCATTAACTCTAAATATTGCCATGATCATTAGGATATTCTTATCATTCATCTGTGTTTAAGGAGTAAAATTCAGTCACTCAAAGTTATCTTGCCAAAGTGGGTTAAAATAACTCGCTTGGGAGAGTTATTTTTAGGGAGTAAAATTTTTCACCCTTTGACAAGAGTTGTTTTTACTCTGTCTGTGGAGTCACTTTAACTCTCAAAAGTGTAGTTGAATTTACTCATATCTAGGAGTTACTCCAATGGAGTTTATTTAACTCCCATTAAAGAGTTTGTTCTTTTTTAAGGAAGGGTTACTTGATTTCGGCAGATAGAATTAAAATTATTTTGGAATGTATATAGAGGAGTTATTTTTAGGTTTTTCCGCCTTCATAATGAGTTGATTCTTTTCGTTTATGTGAATTTTTACATGCAGGTTTTTTGTTATCTTGATCCTTATTTTTAAGAGGTAAACTTACGACAATGCCCAATGGACTGTATATTACAGACATAAAAACATCATATACATGTGACAACAGTGAACTTTTATTTAGTTGTTTGTTCCTATGTCAAAGCGTTGTACAACATATTTATTCCTTGTCAATACACCGAAAGGTTTCACCTGATTTAGAGGTAGGAAAGAAGAGAGGTTTTTGTGATGAATAATAAGCTTCTGTCTAGGATGTGTAACTTGCACCTCAAAACTTTGGTAGTGCATGCTGAAACCAATTGTGTTCAGCTTAGAAACAACAAAAAATATGTCATTAATGTTCTTATTTAACAAGAAAATTTTCATCACTTGTCCAAAAACTGGATTGTCATATTGATCCGTGACAATTTGTAATGTGCAGCCAACCTTATAGTTTGTCCCAAGAACAGAAACCCTTTTAAACCTGAAAAATAAAAACAAAAACAACAGTCACATAAAACAAACAATTTGGGGAATTGATTATAAAAAGCTTTGTTGGAATGATGAAACGGCTAATGCTCTTTCCTTAGTAAATAGGTACTATATTGTAACAGTGTGTATTTGTCACTTACTCTGTTAATGGTGTGTCATTTGTAACTGCTGGATCATCTCTCATAAGGATGCCTTGGTAGTCTACATCTCCTGCATGGCAGTGATGGCCTAAAATGTTAAATTACATAACAAACAATTGATATAAGATCAAGCTAAATCCATGTAACATTTTACATAAAATATTGCACTGTCTCATTAGAACAGATTCTTGAGCTTTATTCAGTTGGCTCTTGTGAAGTTCAGCACCTATATCCGAGGCATATGGTTAAATAAGTTTGCTAAAATATTGTTGTCATCTCTTAACAAAATCATGCAATGGTTTGACCCCTGTTTGCTTCCAACTAAAAGTGGTTAAATTCTACGTTGGGGCCCTTCTTGAACAGAAAGTGAGGGGATTCAATACAAAATTTTAAGTCACTAAACAAGATATACATTCTTGTTACCTGGTCCAGTTTCAATGCCTTTGACGATAAATGAAGAGAGGCTACCCTCTGTGGTTTGCAGTCTGTAGCAAAAGCCTTCTTGATGACGTTTTGCTAAAGAGTAGGGTAAGTTTGTGTAATTTCCCAGATGTGCAGCGAGACGCTTAAATTCATGATGCTTGGCTTCAAACCGCATACACCAGCTTCGTACAAGAGGTCCCATGCTGAAAGAAGATAAAAAGATCTGTCAAAATTTTAGGAAAATTGTCTTCTCTTGCATTTGAGGCTCTGATGCCACACAACTGCTAATTTGCATCTTGAAAAAGGAATTTTGAGGAAGAAAGGACATTCTTGCAGTCCATTAAACTCTCATATTAAAGTTATTTATTTACTCACTCAAAGAGCACTTAAATGCAAAAGGGAAAGTTTGAAAGAAGAAGGTTAGTACAATTCTTTCCAAATCATACAAATTATTAAATTTACCTTAACATTGTTCTTGGCATGTGTATCATGTAGTGCATCTTGGGCGTTATGGGGCAATCTGGATACAATTCTTTAAAAGTTTCATGGTGATTTTGTATAAGAACTTGTAAGTAAGCGATCTGGTTCCGACTAACTGTGGGGGCGAAGATAATTCGGACAATCTCTAGGAAATTACAGAAAAGACTCCAGTGGTCATCATCATCAGGAATGAGTCCACCAATCAGCAAAGGAAGGTTTCTTGCGAGACACCACATTTGGTTTGCTTGATAAACAAAAAAGGAATGAGAAACAAATTGAATGTAATGAAAGAAAAAAATAATTATTTTGAAAATAACCAATTATTTTTAAGACAAAAATCCAATACAAAGTTAGTGGAAGTCCCCATCCTTAGATAAGTGCTGAACAAAACCGGACAGATCTATATTTCTGTCATCCACTACAATTAAACATGAAAATCAATAGCCTCAGATCCAAGGTATACTCACATGACTATTAATATGGGCTCAGAAAAAAAGGGGGGGGGGGTAGTAAGTTAATAGAATTATTAGCTTACAGGTATTTGTATATATTAATAATCACAGGAGTTCAGGCTTCAGGAGTAACCATTGATCGTTTATTGCGACAGTGCTGATTCATATGGTCCGAAATAATTGTAGGACCACACTCATCAGGCAACTTCAATGATTGACCATTAAAATTAAAAGCTGGCAGTAAATATATGTGTTAAGAGATAGTATCTAGGTAACAGATGGATTGTGTCTTAGTTACCTTACTCTAGAGTTCTGAAGTACATATCTGTTTCTGTGGGGCATGAACTCGCTAGAGTAACGTAACTAAGACACAATCCATCTGTTACCTAGATACTATCTCTTAACGCGATATATATTTATTTACCATGTTGTTTTAGAGAGTGGTCGTCTGACAAAAGGCGACTTCTCTGTATTTCTGCTGGCTTGTTAGAGTCATTGTGGTAACCATAGTCAAATGAAGTGATCCTTTTGTTGAGCTCATCAAGTGTGATGTAGTTCTTATCCAAAATCAGTGTTTTTAATGTTTCTTTGACACTGTAATGAAGGACTCCTCAATATGTCATGCATGGCATCTGGCGGCATACCTCCCACCACATGATAAAACCTGGACTTGTTCAGCACTGAATTTGAATTAATACCATATGTCTTTGAATAGTGTGGGTTATCAGCAAGCCGGTTACACTGCATGTTGTGACTGTCACGGGTTCTTAAAGTAAAATCCCTTTCATGAAACTGCAAGTAACAAAAATATTATGACAAGACCAAAAATGTAAGAGGACCTTTAAAGACCTGGTTGTTCTACATGTAGCCACAACAGACTCCCAAGAACTGCTGACAATTGATTGCTGTAACATTAGCTGGACCACACCTTTTTTGTGTGGTATTAAACCAGTGCATCAGAATGGACCATAATAAATCAACCCCCACTCCTCTTGAAGAAATTCATTAGGTTAGTATAAAGTTCAAATATATATTCAAATGTTCTTAAAGCATAGCCCCAAAAGTTCCAATGACCAGCTTTAGCCCCCCCTTTCCTACACTTTGGTCATTTAAAAAAAGTTACAAGGACATATTTCATGTGATCTAGGTTTAAGCTTTAGACTTTGCAACAACAACAGCAAAAAGTGTCTAACTTACATGACTCTTGATCTGGTCCTTGCTACCCATACACTCCCTACAAGGTCTATGTGCCTGTGATCCTTCCTTAAATCCACCTACAAACTGAGACCCAAGGTTATCCCCACAGAAAAAAGCAATTGTCCCTTGAAATGACCTGGGCACTCCATCAATTAGAAACTGGTGACCTGCATCCTACACATGTACAAAAACAATATTTGTTTTTAAAATCACAATCCTTGCCAACCACTATCAATGACAGAGGAACCAACAATGATAATGAAATACATGTACTTTATTATTATTATCACTCTTGTAATGTGGGAGAACAGCATCCGTTAAATAATTAAGTATCTTTTCTTTCTATAATTATCAAACTTACCTGCTCTAGTTTAGCTAAATCCTCCATAAATGCATTCAGTAGAGTTTCCACTCCATATTTTTTTAGGTGCTTGGAGGTAACGAGGCCAAGTAGTTGAATTGCATTCATATGAGACCTATTTTCTGGCCGTATGTTTCCTAATGTGTAGTAAAAGCCTCCTAATAAATTGCATTTGGGAGACAAGATCAAAATATTGTTAGACCTAGCTACATGAGATGAAATAAGGGATCCATAAAATTATTCCTAGATACAGCCTAGGTTTGTTAGCTCTACCTAAAGAAAACACTTGGGTTACACATGCAGGTAATGCTGCTATATATAAGGTAAATCTCAACAATTTGCAACAAAAATCATTATTTGACTGATTGAGTAGTGTGATCATGATAATAAGCAAAACATGATAAAAACAAACCAATTTTGTGCTTATTGGCCCTTGATCCAAGTGGATTGCACACTTCAAATTCATCAAAGTACAAAATCAACTGCAAGGCTTTGGGGTCGGAGGAAAAGAGTGGATGTCTGGCAAATGTGTCTCCATCGCAAAAATCACTAAGAAGACCATCGGCTCTTTGGTGAGGATTGTCTATCTAAAAATTCCATTTAAAAACCAGTTGTTAATTTTTTAACCATCTCTATAAGACAAGTAAGTCACATGTAAAAGAAGTAATGCATTGTTGTTGCTACTATAATAAACACAAGCTCTCTCTAAAAGGGTAATGACAAAATCTTTTCCATATACTAATCATCAGCAAATAAAAATTGTATTTTCAGACAGTGACAACTCTTAACTGTCTTTATTATAGTATAGTGAGTGTCTTATAAAGGTGTGTACCTCTTCTAGTATTGAATCATCATTTAGCAGTTGTTCCAAGCTTTCCAACAGTGGGATGTAGTAAGCATCATCTGTTTTTAACATATCTTTTATTTTGTTCCCTCTGCACCTTTTTTTGTGGTACTGCCCCAGTACAAGTTTTCTTGGCTCCTGTGTGATAAAAATGTAAATGCTAAAGCTATTGCCTTGGCAGATAACACCCTCCTTGATCTCCTTAATTCTTCATATGTTACTCAGCCTCATTCAATAATTGTTTAATAGATTAATCTGTCTGTTTTTCTTTCTTTCTTCTTTTTTTTTTTTGTGGGGGTTAACAGGGGCACCCAACGGCAATTTTCGGGAAAATATCTGTTCGAAGACGATTTGAGAACTAGAATTTTCGGAACATTTGTTGCAAAATTTCTTGCTTGCCTGCCTCTCCTAGGATTTTCGAACATCTACAAAATGGTATAATTACCCATTTTAAACGGATATTTACCCTAAAAAGGCCACCTAGAATTTTCAGGAGCCTTTTCCTGGCTGAAATTTTCGAAAGGTAAGTTTTGATCCCTATAATTTTCGGATCACTAGACTTTCAGCTAGGAAATCCGAACAGATGAAAAGTTTTTAGGGATAAAAATATGCCTATATCTACCGTTTAAATACTAAAATACGTTCAACAATGCTATGTTAAGTGGTTTTGAACTATATCCTCGTTGGGTGCCCTGTGGTTAAGATGGAAAAGCTACATATTTTTCAACATTCTGAAGTAAAGCCTACCAGAAGGCCCAGGTTATCCTTATAGTACTTGTGCTGCTCGTTTTCCTTCCTTATACCGGAAAAAGGATTCATAGCCAGGCTATCTTCTTTGAAGAGTCCTGGGAGTCCAGGAACGGCGTTGAAATCAATGCCGGCTGTGTCCAATCTGTTCATCAGACCTGCTTTAAGAATCTCCATGCTCGTCCTTACGATGCTGGTAGTACTTTCAACAAATGAGTCGACGGCTTTTTGCGATGCTCGATCTTGGTATTTCATTCGTAACAAATGCAGAGCACCAGTACGACGGATTTCTTCAGTCTCTCGTTGAAAGTCAAACTGAGGCAGAGAAGTTAAGTCGTACATGTGTGTTTCACCGTCGTTTCCATCAATATCTGTCGAATTGTCTATAAGATCTTCACTTGGACAACAATCTGTACCGTAATCTGTGTCATCCATGATAGTTTGATTAGCACATTCTCTCTCAGCTTTCAATACATCTGAGTGCTTTCTAATGATGTGATTTCTGTAAGATATGCATTTCTTGTAGGTTTTCGCACAGCCATTAATTCCACAAAGAACGTGGAAGCTTGGATCGCTTAAATGGTATCGATGTAGATGATTAAGAAATAGAGACAGAGTAAGAGCAATAAAACTGACACAGACGTTGCAACGATAAGCCATTTTGTGGCGAATATATGACTCGAATAATAGAAATTTCCCGCGCCCGGGAACTTGGTTCCCACGAAATGACGTCACGTCATGGACAGCGTATGTTTTATGTCGATTCCATGCCGTGTGTTTGTAAACAGATATCATCATGACGGAGATGAAGGTTCGTTTGAAGCAAACTACAATAGAAACGAGAGCGGGACTACTGTTCCACAATCAGTCGCCACCTTCCCAGACTATATTTCCTTCATCATAGTGTAAAATTAGCTTAAAGCCAAACTAATTGAACGTGTATTTTAACGTTTGGCGGTGACAAGAAAAGAACTGAAGTTGGGATCCCGCTTTGATGTTCAAATCACTGTTTACTGTCCGATTAGATTACCGCCGGAAATTACAACACATCACATGCACATGAAAGGACATGTGATCATCATTTGCGCGGTTTTCTTAAAACGGTTAGAGCTCATCGATCGTTGCACAACTGCGAGTACGTTTTACATTCGACTGTTTTCTTCTTTTCAAGTCCACGTCAAGTAAATTCTTTCGAAGGTTAGTACATAATTCTTCCTATTCTTAAATGTTTATTTGTTTCCTTTTTTAAATGTGATCTATGCTATATCTTTTGATCTTATAAAACCGTGAACGACATGTTGATTGTTCGTGCATGGATTCCGTTGAAGTAAAGCCGTCCGTCTTGGCTTGATTTTCTGTTCTCAAATACAGTGTTTTTAATTTATTTCAAGGGTTACAAGCTTATTGTAAAATGGAAGAAGAACTAAAGATTTTCATGCTTAGATCCGGAGTGAAGGAATCAACAGTCGAGCGTCTTGTTATAGAAGAGGTGGGTTTCCCGCGCCAAAAAAGTTGGCTCACATTTTACTGCTCCTGAGCCGTGGATAAATCCAGAATTTTCAACTTCAACCAACATTTTGTAAAGCAATCAGAGCAAGGAAGCACGTTTAAGCATTGTGTTTTTAAAAACTGTATGCCACCGAAGAGCGGCCAAGACTCGAGTGAACCGGCCTTCAAAACAGTCAAAATAAGCAAAACATTTTAAGCTTAAACTTAATTATACAATTTACGTTTTAACGAAACCAGTCCTAACTACTGCTTAAAATGACGATGGAAAAGTTTAGTTCACGAAAAAAAGTAGCTTTTGCAGTCATACCGGGAAAACCTTGAACACCAGGAATATTTCTGGACCGTTATTGTCTCCAAGAGAAAAGTTAATCAGGCGTGGGAAAACTAAACCGCCAGTTCTCGCGCTCTGATCTTTGCTGCGGGGTTAATTGTCATGACACAATAAACATTCCTGAGATACATTTCCTGGTCCCACTGACAATTGGTGTATGTTGGGGTAAATTGAAGATGACAATCAATGCCCAATCTATGCAATAATATGTGTAATCATTTCCTCTAGCTTGATACAGAAGATGACTTAAATTCTGCCAGTGAAGAGCTTCTCAAGCAGTGTGGAATAAGTGGCGGACAAGTTTTGAAAATCAAAGTTGCCATTTCAAAGTTTTTAGAAGAAAAAGCTAAGGTAAGTTCTGTTGCCCTTTGGTACGAATAAGGTTCTAAGGTTCTTTAAGGGGGCTTGGGTGTTAGTAAAATGTGGGGTTGGAGTCTATCTTTGTTTAAAAGAAAAATGCTTTTTGAGGGTTAGGGCTGACCCTTACCGTATACCCAACCTAACCTCAAACCTAAACAGTATTTTAACAGTAGTTAAACAGTATTTAAAAAAAAAGATAAACCCCAACCCTGGTCCCAACTCTGCTTTTTATTGACACCCAAGGGACTTATCTACTTAAGTGCATTTTCCAAAACTCAAAAAAATCCAGGTAGACCAGGCACCTTTTGCAACAAGACTGATTTACTGAAAATCATCCCTTTCTGTGTGGGAAAGGTCTGACTGGCCATTTCTGACAAACAGAAAGCCTCTGATTTCTAAACAAAAATTATGAATCTATATATGCATTTTTTAAAGGAAGTTCTGGATAAATCAGGACAGCTACCAGAGTCCCCTCTAAGTTGCACTTCAACTTCAAGTCAGCTGTCCTCTCCATTATCATCTCCATCTCCTGAAACTTCAAGTTCATCATCCGCAACTTGCTCTTCATATAAATCATCTCCTGCCACATCCACACCCACTCACAACAAGAAGCCTGCCTTTAGTCATTTTGATCTGTTAACCTCGACAACACCCGGCAGCAGCACAAGTGGCACTTCTTGGATCGTAAATTACCATCTTCCATTAAGTGTAAGTTATATGTTTTGTAATGAAACTGAACGTGAAAGTCTACTGTGCTCTTGTACTCATTTGGACTGTATGTTAGACAGAAGAGGACTTAATACTTTAAAGGCAAAATTAAATCAAGACTGTAAAAAAATATATATGATTTTTATTTTTTATTTTCAGTAATTTAAATCCTTCTTTGAATGAAACAAAAATTTTCTTTATAACTATGGAAAATCTGCATTTTCCAAGATAACCTGTACACTGTAGTTGAAATCAAATAATTCTAACTCATTACGGTAAAACTCAACGTTTGCCACCATTTTTGGCCATTAGTGACTGTTGACAAGGATATGCTGTACAAGGAGAATAATTTAAGGCCGTCATACTGAGTAAATATAAGAAAATATCACAGCTGTTTATCTTAGTCACTCTCTAAGGGATTTCCCTTCCAAGGGCACAAGGGGCTCCTTTCTTATTTTGATACCTGTAGATCCTCTTAGGTTGACTAGTGGGACATAACCCAAATACAATCATTTTACTTTTACCCCCAGTTTTCACCTGCAGTCACAAAGGCACTTGCTGAGAAGAAAGTGGTAGGTGCCCGCAGAAATGAACTTACAAGGGACATCTGCAGTAGCATAAGGGTTCACACATTGTACCCTACTAAAGCTGAGAGGGAACATGTGGCCTGTCTCCTTATCAAAAAATTCCCTTTCCTTGAAGATGCTATTGGATCTGGAATTGTAAGTTGAATAGTGACTTGTAATAGCTTGCATTAAATAATTATACTGATCAACTGACTGACCATGCAAACAACCTGATCTTAAAAACTATTTAAGACTGGAATTGCAGCACGTGGCAAGTTGTTTCAGCATTGGTGTCCACTTGCAATGTTCATATAAGCTAAATTAATTCATGGTTACGCTATTGTTGAATTGTTTTTTGCTAGAAGTGTTGTTTATTCAAAAAAAAAATCAAATCAAATTCAAAATCTAAATATTAGTGCGAGAATGAGTTGAACTACATGTATATCAGAGATTTTGAAGCCATTCATAAAAACTCGCAGTCGTGTATTATCAGGTTTACAAACAAGGAAGTACACTCCAGCTGCATCTTTAATCTGGGGTATCAGGGCATTTACAGGTAGCCTCTAAATCTCCTGTTTACCTCCAAATGTTTTAGTGGTAGTTCTCAACCCTTTCTTTTGTCATTGTAGGGAAGTCTGCCTTGTTCTCAATGGGTTTGCAGGTGCAGTTCTGTTTCAAGATTGTTTTGTTAATAAAAACGTTTTTGTTTTGCCCTAGGGTTCTTGGGAAACAGCCTTTAAGAACAGGTTCAAAAATCTGAGAAAAACTGGCATTAAAAGAGAGGGAGTAGAGAAGAAAGCTGAGGAGAAAGATGACTTACCTGTTGTTAAAAAAAGAAAAATTGACGAAATCCCCTGTATGCCGGAAGGGGAAACAAAAGAAACATCACGAAGAGCACAAGTCGATAATGAAAAAAGAGATGGCTCGTTCATCTAACAGGAACCTTGCATTGGTGAGAGAGCTAATGGGGGTAACCTTCGCATATAGAAGAGAAATGCTAACAAAAGAAGTAATCCCTGTCAGCCAGTTAGTGGCGGATTATCCAGCTTTGAAGTCACCATCTGGGGTAAGTTGATAATGATGATACACTGTAGTTTTTATTAGATTAATGTTAGTATTCCATACTCATCATAATCTTCAGAGTCAGAGTGAGCTGAGTCTCATTTGTTGATGGTATTGCAGAGATAAGAATCAAATGTAATGTCCATCCCTGTATATTAATAAAGTTTGGTTGCTGTAAAGTACATTCTCTTGAGCCCAATTTCCTTATTACCACCTATTTGCTTCAAACTTCCAATAAGTCTAATTTTTATTCAATTTTTTAGGAAAAATAAGGTTTGTGTTACTGGGAGTCAACTGAACATTGTTTTCTGTTTAAAGAACAATGTGTAATAGTAGGGTGCAAAGAAAGTCAGTTTTACAGCCTGCCATTTGGGCAAGCTGTAGTTAGCATGTACTAGCCCACAGGTCATTTCAACTAGCCACAAAAACCCTTTTTGATTAGCAGGATTGATTACAAGCCTTCTGTCATTTGAATTTCCCCAAAAACAACACTTGCCTGTCTGGCAAGTTAAGAACAAAAATCACTAGCGCAATAGCAAAATCCACTAGCCTGGGCCTATCGGACATGACTTTCTTTGCATGCTGGTAATAGTGAAAAAAATGTAAAGCTATCTCATAATTACACTGTATACACTACTCATCAGAAGATGCAACCAATCAAAGTAACATGCTTATTCTTGTTGTAATGTCCTAGATAAAGGCTGAGTTTGCCCGCATTTTGGGACAAGGGAACCCAGTAAAAGAAATGGCGAAAAAATTTCAGCAGAACTGGGTGGATAAAATTTTGAGATTTTGCTCATGAGTCAGCATGGATCCAGAGACATCCTGGATTTGATGAATGATGGCATTTCCGATAACCCTTCAAAAACAGATGGTATGATTATTATGTTTACTTACAGTTTGTATAATTATCTACAGTAAACAGTTGGTCTATCATGGATCAACAGCCAGCACCATATGTTATGGCCTACAAATAATACTGTTTGATTTCGTACAACTGATAGTGATTGGCTTGTTCCTTCTCTCCCCGCCACCCACTCCCCTCTCGCCAAAAAAAAAAAATATTCTGTTGATAATGACCCCCCACTTCATGGACTACCCTAAAATGTACTGTCACTGACATGAGAGGACACAGAGGCTTTTTACTGGAAGTACCATCCCACGCAGGGACGTTTTCTCCGCGGGCAGCTAATCCGACGTAATCCCGTTTAATATGTCGCGCTCCTCGAAAGTGCGAAAATTTTCTTGTCGTGTATTAGATTTCAGATACATTTTCTTAATCTTCATTTCGCATTTCGCACACCCATGGGTGCAGTGTAACCTAGTGATTCTTTAGGTAGAGCTAACAAACATAGGCTGCACTTTAGGTGGCACACCCATGGGTGCAGTGTAACCTAGTGATTCTTTAGGTAGAGCTAACAAACAT